CAGCTAGTGTCCCCGTAGCTCAAGGAAGAGCATTGCCTTCCTAAGGCAAAGGTTGTGGGTTCGAGTCCCGTCGGGGATGTTTTTTATATTTCTTTGTTTATATTTTTTTGTTTATGATTGATCCTCTTGCGATCTGGAGCGCATCTAGAGTTGTATCTCTTGGGTCCTGTGCTCTTTCTTCCTACTTCATTCCGCACCACGACTACTCTTACTCTCTACTCGGCGATTCTAGTCCTTTTCTTTTCCTGGTGCGCTGGGATGCCATCTTCTTCTACAAAATAGCCAGGGACGGGTACATAACAGAGAATATGACTGCTTTCTTTCCCCTGTACCCCATGCTTATCAGAGCTCTATCGCACTGCGGTCTTTCCATGGTATCTGCAGGCGCTGTAATATCCAATCTTTCGTTCCTCATTTCTTCTCTTATTCTCTTCAGAATGACTGAGAAGTACCTGGGCAGAGATAGCGCTGTGAAGGCATGCTTTCTCTTCTGTTTCAGCCCCTGCTCCATTATTTACTCTTCTCTGTACACTGAGTCTTTGTTCAGCATGTTTGTGCTTCTGTCTATAAATAGCGTGCTCTCACAGGATGCTCTCTCTGCTGTGTGGATGGTTTTGGCCTCCACTGTTAGATCAAATGGATTTATCCTGGCTCCTGTGGTATTCCTTGGGCTAGCAGGAGCATACTCCTATTTATCGAGCGCTGTGCTGTCTCTATTGCCTATCCTCGTCTTTGCAGGCATACAGCTGTACTGGTGGGTTGCTAGATTCCCGTATATAACCACGCTGCCTTATTCTTACATACAGAGCAAATATTGGGAGCAGGGATTTCTCGAGTTCTACAGACACGGCAAGAATATTCCCAACTTTCTTGTTGGGTTTCCGTTCATAATACTCTCCTGCTGTGTTATGGGCAGCTATTTGCTCAGAGAGAAAAGTTTTCTGTACTCTCTTTGTAAGCAGGCGACTGGGCACGTGGTGAGAGCAAGAAAAAACAAAAGATCGGAAATAAAGGGGAAGGAACAGAAGGAGAACAGAGATAGATCTGCTCTGGGCGATGATATTCTAACACAGAAGATCGGACAGACCGCAGCAGAAGATGGTAAGATGCAGCAGAAGAAGAGAGGCTCTGAGACATTCCCGCTTATTAGGATGTTCTTGCAGTGTGTTCTTTTGTTCCAGGTGTTTCTATCGATTTTCTTCATCCACATGAACATGCACTTCAGGTTTGTGTCATACAACCCCGTCATCTACTGGGAGCTCTCTGAGATCTTCCAGAAGGGCGGGATATGGAGGCTAGGCCTCTTTGGCTATGTGTGCTTTGGCATTGCATATGCAGTGCTCTATGGAGCATACTTCCCTCCGGCATAGCGGCGCACCCGAAAGCGTGGAGTAGTTTTTGTGATTGCTCGGTATATTTCAGTGCTATTTCTCATTTCACACTCATTGGAGCTCTTGCAGTGTAAGACAGCTGGTGTTGTAAATGCAAATAAAAGTGTACTTTTTCAATGGTGTATGGTTTATGAAAGAATAAAGAAGTATTTGAAATATTAAAAATATACTTTTATTCCTGTAGAGTATTTATTCTGTGCACCAGAGTGTTTGATCAAAATTAGAAGAGAGTGCAGTACTCGCTGGCTAGAGCATATTGTGTGCAGAAGTAGAAGAGGAGTGGATGGATATGCAGCTGTGTGCAGGATAGGTGTGTATTTGAAGTATCAATATATCCTAAATAGGAAGTATACAATTAATTAGTAAAGATGTGGTGATAGTATGTTATAGATAGGTGGTTTATGGTGTAAAGGGCGTGGCAGACAATAGGCAGCGTATATGTGGAGAGAGTGTGAATGTGTTTGTGGTGAGGTGGTTAGTGTGTATCAGGGTGCAGCGGTGTGTATTAATAGAAAGTGCGAGAATATTTTTTAGAATGGAGGAAAAAGCAAAGAGAGTATATATAGAGAGAATAGTTGTGGAGGACTTCAAGAGCTACAAAGGGCAGCACACAATAGGGCCCTTTGGAAGGGGGTTTAACACGATAGTAGGGCCCAATGGGTCAGGGAAGAGCAATGTGATAGACTGCATCCTGTTTGTGCTGGGATTCAAGGCAAAGAAGCTGCGGCACACGCGGGCTGAGGATCTGATACATTCGGGAGAGCCCAGGCCAACAAGAGCGAGCGTGTCGATTGAGATGTGCGATGGGGCAGGAGGGCGAGTGGCGGTCTCTCGTGCAGTGATGGCGAAGGGAAAGAGCGTGTACAGCATCAACGGGGAAAGTGTCCCGCAGGAGAGAGTCACTGAGCTGATGAAGGAGTACAATGTAGATTTAGTGAACAACCGGTTCATGATACTGCAGGGGGAGATAGAGAGCATCTCGCAGATGAAGGCAAAGGGATCGGGAGAGAGCGTAGGGCTCGTGGAGTATCTGGAAGAGATCGTAGGAACAAGTGTGTATGCAGAGGTGATAAAAGAAGCAGAGGCAGAGGTGCAGGCAAGGAGAGAGGTAGCTGAGAGGCACAGAGCAGAGTATCACTTCACAGAGAAAGAGTGCTTGTATCTACAGCCAAAGGCTGATCTCTCGCGGCAGCGCATAGCATCGCACATAGGAGCAAGCATCAAGCGGCGAGCCATAATAGCAGAGACGGCCCAAGAGATAAAAACTCTTCATCAGTCGCGCACAGACAAGCAGCACGTGTCCCACGAGGCGCTGGAAGCGCTAAAAAAGAAAAAAGAAAAAGCGCAATCTGCAGAGAGCCAGCACGCACAGGCACACGAGCAGGCGCAGACAGAGCACCACGATGCAGAGCAAGCGTATCTACGGCAGAAGAAGGCGAGCGAGAAAGTGAGCAGCGAGAACAGGCTGCACGAGATGCACCGGGCAAAGAGTGCAGAGCAGATGGCCTTACAGGTAGAAGAGGTTGCGCGGCTGGAGAGAGCGAAGGAAGAGGGCGAGAAGAGAAAGGAGGAGCACGAGAAGGAGCTGAAGGAAAACAGAGCGCGGATGCAGGAAGATGAGAGAAGGAAAGAAGAGATAGAGAAGAAGATAAGAAAGATAGAAGGGAAGAAAGGTGGCCGGGTGAAGGATGCGCTGGAAAGTGCGCAGAGCGTGCTGGTGGAGCAGATGCGCAAGGGAAAGGTGTACAAAGACGAGCTGAGAAAGAAAAGAGGAGAGAGGAAGGAGATGGAGAAGAAGGTAGAAGAGATAGAGGAAGAGATAAAGAGAATACCAGAGGAGATGAAGAGAGTAAGAGAGGATAGAGATGCGTATGATAAGAGTGCGCATGGAAAGTATGCTAAACAGATGGAAGAGATCTGCAGAATACAAGAGGAAACAGAGGTAGAGATACGAAAGAGAGAGAATGTTCTGGAGGCACTGGTGAAGGAGGGGGAGAGCAGCGAGATAGACGACAGGCTGAGAGAGTATTTAGTAAAGATAGAAGGATACTGCGGTAGAGTAAGAGACCTGGGAACAGTGGATAGAAAGTATGCAATGGCAGTGAGCGCAGTGGGAAGAGGAGGGCTGCACAGTCTGGTGGTGGATACAACAGAAACAGCAGAGAAGTGTTTGGACGTGATAAAGAAAAGGAGCCTAGGGAGGCACACTATCCTCGTTATGGACAGGCTCGGGGAAGTGCGGGATAGCAGAGATGCAAATAGGCTGGTGGATAAGGTCAGCTGCAGGAAAGAGTACGTAAAGTGTTTCTACCACATACTAGGGGATACGCTCGTTGTAGGGGATTTAGACACGGCAATGAAAAGAGCATTTATGCGAGACAGACCGAAGGTAGTGACTGAGGGAGGGCAGGTAATCGATAAGAGCGGGCTGATGAGCAGTAGTCCGGTGCAGATAGTGCAGATGGCTGCGAGGAAGACGCCTAAAGAAACAAGGAAGGAGATAGAAAAAGCACGAGAGGCAGTGAAGGAGGCAGAGGAAGGAATGCAGAGAGTGGAGGAAGCTGTGAGAAAGGCTGAGAAGAAGGCTGCAGCAGCAGAAGCACACAGGAAGAGATGGGAAGCAGCAGAAAGCACTATGAAGAGCCTGGAAAAGAGCCTGGAGCTGGCTAAGAAGAAGAGAAAGGAGATGGAGAGTAGAAATAGCAGCGGTAGCACAAAAGAGTCTGTAGATGCAGAGGAAGATGCTTTGGTGAAAAAAGTAGAAGAAATGGAGAAGATAGAAAAAGAAATGGAACAGAAGGTGAAGGAGATAGAGAAACAGATGGAAGTAGAGGGAGGGGCTATGTACAGAGAAATGAAGGCCACGCTCTCTGGAATAGAGGAAGTTTTGTTCACGCTGAACTGCAGGAACAGGGAGATAGAGAAGGCCCTCCTGGAAAGAGTAGCCAGTGCTGCAGACATATCCAGCGCACAGAAAAAGGCGCAGATGACACAGGAGAAAATAGACGAAGCAGGCAAAGCGATAGACACAGAAAAAGAGAAAGAAGCACGAAATGCCATGGAAGCAGCTGAAAGGACCATGCGAGAGAGCAGAGAAAGAGTAAGAGAGCACGAAGAGAAAAGAATGAGAGAAATAAGAGAGATAGACGTAATACGCAGCAAAGAGGCAGAGATAGAAGGAGAAATAAGAGAAACAGCGAGTAGAATGGAAGAGATGGAGAGAAAAGAAAAAGAGCTCGAAAAAGAAGCAGAAGCCATTGCAGAAAGTCTGCACAGCATACAGAAGAGACTAGGCAAGTACTACACAGCGTACGAAACAGCAGACACAGATGCAGTGAATATGCAGATAGCAGATGGCAGCAGTATAATAAGTGATGTAGACACGTACATCCTCTATGAAGAGAAGAAAGAAGCGACGCAGAAAGAGCTGGATGTTCTCTTGGAGAAAGAAGAAAGAGAAAAAGAGGAAAAAGAGAGGCTGGGAATGCTTAAAGAGGAAAGAGTGAACAAGTTCCTGAGTAGTATACGCAAGATAAACCAGGAGCTGAAAAGGGTGTACAGCAGGCTTACCTTTGGAGGAGATGCTGAGATAGAAGCAGTGGACTATCTGGACCCGTTCTCTGAAGGAGTTGTGATGAGCGTCATGCCGCCCAGGAAGAGCTGGAAGAGCATATCGCAGCTAAGCGGAGGAGAAAGGACACTGGCATCACTCTCCCTGATATTTGCTCTCCATGAGTACCATCCCAACAGCTTCTACGTGATGGATGAGATAGACGCAGCCTTGGACTACAAGAATGTGGGCATTGTAGGACAGTTCATAGCAGAGAGAGCAAGAGACTGCCAGTTCCTCGTGATCAGTCTGAGGGAGAACATGTACGAGCTAGCTGACGTTTTCATCGGAGTGTACAGGCCCGCAGAGACAACCCTGACACTAGCAGTGGACACAACAGTAAATACAGCAGTGTAATAAATATAATTATAAAGTTAAACATTCTTAAAGTCTACCTTGCTTATTTTTGTACATGTTTATACTTTTTGTTACATTTTCTACTCTGGAGCTCACTAGCTCTGAGCTTGCTTTGTCTGTCTCTTGTAGTGGGAGGTAGAGGTGTGTAGAGCGTAGAATTGTAAAATGCTAAGAGAATAACCGAAGAGTTGTGATTACACTCTGTGAGCTGTAAAATAGACGGTAAATGACAATAAGTTATTTTTATTCATGTTGTGGAAGTAAGGCAGAATAAAAACACAGCTATTTGATAGTTCTTATTATCCTGGTGGTTAGTTAATTAATGTGAAGATGGGGCTTCTCCATTTAGCTTCTGCTAAAGTTTCATCTGTAGTATTCTCCCGTGCAAATTTATTTCTAAATTCACTCTTTGGACTATTGCTATTGCCTTGTGCTGTTTCTTCTCTTTCGGTGTTCTTTTCATCGCTGCTGTGTTCTTCTGCTAGAGTATTGAGATTTACGCTATTTTGGCTAGATTTCAGGTTCTTTCCATGATCTCTTGGATGAAAACTATTCCGCTGTGCACTATTTTGATTGTTGTCTGCATTTGGAGTAGCCCTGTGTGCATTTTTTTCAGAGGAGACTGGAGTAAGCTTATCGTCTGAAGTATTACTGCTGATAGCTCTTGCATTGACATTGCTTTGGCCACCAGTATGTGTGCTGTCATTCTTTTCAGAAGTATCTGCAGAGTATGTGTTCTTTTGAGCTCCTGTGTCCGCTGGATGATTTTTCTCGATATTTCTGCTATTTTTTGGGCTACTATTCTCACCAAATCTCCTATGGGTGCTTTTTGCAGCATTGCCAATGCTCCTTTTATTAACTCAACCGTGGACACGAGAATTTTGATGTATGTCTGCATCACCCCAAGGACCTTGAGAATCGTCCTGATTTGTTCTCGAAGGTACCCCATGGCCTTCAAAAGCAGTGCGATCTGAGGAGCCTTCCATGCGCCTTGTGCCTGAGCTCGGATGGGATCTATGACTCTGACTAAGCTCCTGACTGTTTCCTGTGCTTGGTGTATGGCTATGGCTTTGAGCACTATCTGCAGAGTGAACGCCTTGGCGATTAGCTTGTGCATGCTCTGAGATTCTGCTGCTATCAGTAATAATTGTCTGCCTATTATCACTAAGATGCCTCTGTCCATTGCTATCTCCATCCACCTGTCTATTTTCGTTACTATAGCTTGATGATTGGTTGGCAATGCTGCGTTGGGCATTGCGCGAGTAATGTGTTGGAACGTTAAAATGAAAAGCCTGTAAATAGTACCATTCATTATTTTGATCTGCGGTATTAATTGGTTCAGGAACAGAAGCGTTTCTCTCTGGAGTGATGGCAAGTCTTTGTGCAGTGCTTGGACTATAGACATTGCTCTGTCCTTGTGTGCTACCTGTGCTGGGATGCTGTGTATTTTTTTGTTTTTTTCTGTTGTCCACTAAAGCGTTCGTTGCTGTATTGTATGCTACTCCAAATTTGCTGTTTCTTAATTTTTCATCTGCTATTATACTTTCCAACTCTCTGCAGGTGAGCAGGTCTTTTTCGTTTTTCAGACACTTGTTCGTTGGCTTTGGCATTATGTCCGACAGTTTATACTTTATATAGTTTTCCATAACATCTAGCCTTTTCTTTGGAAGCTCTAGGGCATGTTTCAACAGAAGGTCGTACGGGTTCATCTTAATAGAGTCGTAGATCAGGCCTTTTTCTCTGTACAGCTCTTTTTGTGTTGATATAACTGCAAGGATGGAGTTGAATAGATCTTTTCTCAACAATAGCTTGTTCAGCAGGTTATTGGCTATCTGTTCCTGGATAACAGGGGCCTTGCTACCGATGGGGTCATCTTTATGCTTCAAGCACGAGCTGTACTCTGGGAGCTCTGTTATTTCAATGTGGAGCAGGGATATCTCCTTCGTTACAATGAGTATCTGCATGAGATAGTTCTTTATCAGGTTCATCTCATCTTCTATACTAAGACTTATCACGTCTTTTAGTATTTTATTGAGCTTTATATGCACAGTCCATGCCTCTTCCTCTGCCAGCGCGTTCTCGTATCTTATTGCCCTTTCTCTCTCTGCATGCGATGCATTTACTATGTTTTTCTGTTTGGATTTTCTAGGCTTCTTTATGCGCAGATTTTTTATTTCTTGCCGCATGCCAGCCACTTTTACTCTTCTTTTCTCTTCAAAGGACTCTACATCGCATATTCTTGCTTTGGCCACCAGGGTTATGAACTCTACAAATTCATTCGAGGGAGCAAATGTTGTTGGATGGAACACAAGCATCCTGTCTTTACTTGCAAAGTACCCGCATATGTCCAAAGCGCCTTTGATTGGGCTCGTAAAGTTTTCGTATCTCATGTTTGCTGATTCAATCAAAGCAGAAAGCTTTTTCTTTTTCTCGTGTAAATTCTTTGCATCTGAGAATAGAAGGTCTGGCTCCACCTCTAGCATCAGACCTGCTACACTGCTTCGCACAGCAAGGTATGCTGCATTCATCAAAAGCCTGCTGAGAGTGTTTGTTTCGAGATTGATCGTTTTCTCTATCAGCGAGGAATATGCTTTCATAGTCAGCGGATTGTGTTCTAGGTTTGCTATCCTCGCATGTATCCTTCTTTCCAGGTCTTTTTGTTTTACCACTAGATCGGTCTCATCGTTATTTATCGAGTTGTAGTTGTGCATTGGGGCATCTTCCCACAAGGGATTACTGAATATTGTCGTATAGTTTGAGTCTGCAGCTAGGTGGCACTCCAGGAACTTAAATCCTGCATTTCTGTCGTTTTCTGAGTTGGCTATGTCTTTGAATCTAAATATGTTCAGCTCATCTCCTCCCATGCTCGTAGTAAACGGAAGAATGTCTACTTCTCTCGACATAACAGATGGTTCTAGGTTGTACTGTCTTTCTGTACTGTTGCTATTGCCAATGCATATATTTTTACTGTTCTCCATTGAGTCCATTAACACTTTTGTAGAAGAGTAAGTTCTATCTCCATCTATGGTCACTACAGCCAGTTCTATCATTTTTTCTATTTTGTTCGTGGGCGAATTCCACACAAATTTCTTTATTTCCTCGCCATCAACTGCATCTTCTTCGCGTGTATCACAGACACTCTTGATAGACTTTTTGCTTGTTCGTATAAATCCGCTCTGGTTCTTGGGTCTATCTCGGCACAGGGTAACCAAGGGAGTCTTCCCCTTTAGCACATCATTTATGTATTTCTTCTGTTCGCGCAGAGTCATTTTCTGCAGACTATCACTGTCTGTCGGGTCTCCATCGCAGTTCTTCACTCCCACTCGGTCACTGCGCAGCTGGTCTAGCTTGTATCTGTTGAAAACAGCTGCAAACTCTTCCTTTCCCATATTCAGATCAGACTGCAGTTTTCTTATTGCAGGCGTTATTACTCCAAACTCTTCCATGTCTGTGTTCTCTCTTTGTATGTCTCGGTATGCTATTTGTAGATTATGTCTCTGCTCTTTGCACAAATTCTCCTCTGCTGTTCTGTTCAGCCCTGTGGCCATGCTCATGCATAGTATTACAAAAAGTATTCCTGCTATCTCAACCAAAATCTTAATAAAGTCCATAATAAAAATAATTGCTATCATATTAATAGCTGATTAAGGATGGACAATGATATGCTATGAAAGATCGCGCAATGAGAAGCAAGGACGCCGTAGCTTGGAGGAGTGCACGGATGCAGGGGCGTACCATACACATCGGTTACAACAGAGAGACAGTTCATGTCTATCCCTGCACAGTGGTCCCATATTTTTTCTTCTATTTTTCGGCTGGGAAGCCGCAGGAAGATGTCCATCTGCTGTGTAGCTACGTATGCGTACTTTCCCTGTCCGTCCATCCTATGAACAACTATTGGGTATATCTCTCTCATTCTGGACAGATACTTTTCAACGAGCGAGCTGGAGTGTGCACTTTCAGCAGACATGCATATATGCAGAGACAGTGTGTTCAGGAAAGCACTGTAGGATGCTTTGTATGCATCGCCAAGCGCGTACACTTTTACTCTTTTTCTGTGCGGATATCCAAATGTCCCAGAGGTGTTCATGCTGCATTTGTAGTGGACTATGCCCTCTTTAGGACAGGAGATAATCGAAAAAAGAGCCGAGTTATTTTCTATGCAGGAAACAACAACGGAATAAGACCTGCCACTAATAAACCCTCTCGTGCCATCTATCGGATCGAGTACTACTGTTGTATTTCCTGTTTTTTTTGCAGAGTGAATTACGGGCTTCATTCTATCCAGCGATATAGAGTGCTCTTTGAGAAAGCTGTGTATGTATCTGTGCTCTTCTGTGCTTGTGCCAACACTTTCTCTTAGTATCTTAAGAGTTTCTTTGTAGAAAATGTTGTCTTCTTCTTCTGACAGAATATCAACGGGACTGTCTCTAAACAGATAGCAGAAAATCATCTGTATCGACACGTCATAGAGACTGACAACTGACTGGTCATCTTTCAGCTTGGCAGTGACCAAAGGAGCATTTCTGGCCAAATGCGAGGCATAGCAGATGCCCTGCATGGCAATTTTAAATAGTTCTTCATACGAGTGCATGTGTATATCTAAAATATTTTACAAATTATTCAAACACTCCTGCACAATAAGAGAGAGAACATATGTTAATTAAAATTGAGAAGTTCGTAGTGGGTTTGGAAGTAGATATAGCACACAGAGATAAGGCGTATAGTAAATCAAAAGGACTCGATAGAAGTAGAAAGTATAGCTGTACTAGAAAATAAGAAGGAGGAGTAAGACATTCATCTCTTTGGTGCCTTGAAAGTATCTTAGTTCACAGATCAGCTCTATTGCATCTGTTTTTGTATAGATTATTGTCTATCATGTTTAGGATACACTTTATATCTCCTGTTTGTTATTCATTATTAGTAGGAAAAGATGTTAATCAATAAATGTGTCTAGAATCAGGTCATCAACTCTTATAAAATGATCAATGGTTTTAGTCTAGCTGTATTAATGTACGGTGCAGCAATAAAGTACTGCACAGAGATCCGGGGGTCCAAATAAAAAAATAAATTTATACTTTGTCCACCTCTTGAATAGATGTTTTATTGGAGTAAAATATAAACTTAGCCCAGTTCACAAGACATGCACTAACAAGCATCTCACAGATATCCATCCATCTTTTTAGCCTATCTTATCTCTTCTATTTCACTTTCTCATGAAACTATTGCCTAGACAGTCTTTTTCGGTCTTTTAGCGTACTATTGTTTTTCATGAATAAAATATTATTTCCATAGCAACAGAGCATAACAACAATTCACAGCTAGTGACTATAAAGTAAAAAGAGAAATTTCACAGATACAGCAGTCTAAGTATCTGCCATTTATAGTAGCATTTACACCACACACCTTTTCTGCAGAATAAGACCATCTATTTCATCTAAACAATTTGAGACTTTACCTCACTCTATTTATTTTCCCGGGAGAGGAAACAAGACTGAAACGCATCTCCAAAGTATTTAAGCCCATTAACTTTATTTCTCTATGCTAATAATAGGTATCGTTCATTTACTGCTTATCCATTACGCCTTTGCTGAGACATACAACACCTGCAAGGTTCTTCCTGTGGCAGAGGGCTACTCGATTACGAAATACTACGCAGAAAAGTGCGTGCACTGCCAAAGCATTACTCCAAAGATAAAAAAAATAGTAAACTCAATCGAGAGAAAAGGCATAAACATCACCGCATATAACGTAGATACCGCCAAGTGCCACGATGAGATAGCTGAGATAGAAGCCATCCCGACGATTATTCTGCGCAAAGACAACAAAGAGCTCCTGAAGTTTTCCGGAGATATGGAGTACGAAAAAATAGTAGAGATGTTCACAGAGGCCACAGGGCTAAGCCACAGCATATTTGAGAAAGAAGTGCATATGCCGCAAGAGATACTGTCCGTGACAAAGCAGGACTTCCTCTCTTCCTTTGTCGGCCCGTGGATTGTCTATTTTGAAAACGCATACGACCAAGTCCTCGAAGACATTCTTTTGGAAACCTACAAATCTTTCCACGGAGAGATAAAAATAGCCAGATACACCGGGGCAGATAAGGAAATAGTGGCAGGAAGGTACTACATCTACGACTTCCCAGGACTTCTAGTCATGTACGATGGAATACTGATGAGGTACAACGGAGACATGACGCTTGCAGCATTCCACGAGTTCTGCAGCAGGCTGGTAGAGCCAAGCTTCAAAGACATCACAACAGATGAGCTGAGCAAGATATCCCATCCCACCTTTGTTGTCTTCTACTCGGACATTGTCCTGGCCAATCGAGCATTCAGAAGAATAGCACACGACCTGAAAATGAACGCGTCTACTTTCAAAATGAAAATAGAGTCTGAAGAGAAGGAGTCTATCCTCCGGCTCGCAGTGTTCAAGAACGGAAACAAGTTCTACTACGATGGAGACATAAACAACGAAGGAGCAATCAGAGAGTGGCTCTTCCATGCACACTTCCCAAACATTTCCAAACTGGGAATGGACAACTTCTACTCAATTTTCCACGGTCTTAAGCCTGTGGTGACCATTGTTACAGAGGGAGGAAATAAAGAGCTGGAAAACTTTGAAGAAATAGCGTATGAAAACAACAGAGGCGCTGCGTCATCTCCCTACGTGTTCACATTTGTTGATAAGTCAGAATATCCAAAGTTCACAGAAACAAACTTTGGAGCCCTTAAGTCCGACTATCTCATCGTGTTCTTTAACCCAGAGCAGCAAATGTTCTACGGAAGAAGAAGAAAGGCAAAGGAGTCGGTGCAGGCATACTTTGACACACAGCTAAACGACTACAAAGAAGGAAAACTTCCCAAGTATGCAAAAGAGAATGTTGTTTCATATAAAAAGATAGTTATAGGGTGTGCCATCGTAGCATCAGTAGGCACTGGATTGAAAATGCTTCTTTCCTCTAAGAAAAAGAAAACGGTCTTAGAATAAATTATTTATACTTTATTTACATCTTCTGCTAGCACACAATTATTTTTAGTTCACAAGAATATTTATGCACCGATGATTACTGCTAAGTCTGCTAGCAGAAATAACTAAATTCACTATCGCTGATTACATCATAAAATACCGTTATTGCCATACATTACTTGTAAAATTACTACCAGTAAGTTAATTTGCCATTATTATTACTATTGCTATACTACTGCTAACCAGTCATTACCATTATTACTGCTGTTATTAATGAAGGCACTAGATATAGGATCAAATAATACGTGCAACAGCTGTAATAAGTCTGGAACACAGTGCAGACTATTCAATATCCTGCACTTTGCATGAGCTACAGTGGTGGCAATAAATGCTCTGTGGTTTTCTTTTTTATGAAAAGAAAAGAAGACGATCTTCCATACACTGGGCGCACGTTCGTTGTAACTGGAACTACAGCTCTTCCTCGAGATACCTTAGTGAACAGAATTCGCGAGCTAGGAGGGAAGGTAACTGTTGGCGTATCTGGCTCCACTACGTATCTTGTCACAGGAGCAGACCCAGGACCAGCTAAGCTGAAGAAAGCCCTTGCAGCTGGCACGAAGATCCTCTCGGAGGAAGAATTCACCGAAATGTCCAGTCACTACGTCATACAGCCCATTGAGGTAAAGAAAGTAAAGACGGCAAATCTGTCGCATGAAAGATGGACAGATAAGTATGCGCCACAGAGTCTTTCAGAGGTGGTAGGAAACAGCGGAGCAATAAAACAGCTAAAGACACACTTGCTCTCCATGTCGCTCAAACCGATCCTTTTAGCAGGGCCCTCAGGAGTGGGCAAAACTCTGTCAGTGTATCTAGCTGCTAAAGAGTTAGGCCTGTCTCTGATAGAGTACAACGGATCAGACTACAGAAGTAAGCAAGAGATATCCATAGTAAAGGGCCTTTCAACACAGCAGTCTCTCACAAGGGAAGTGCATCTGCACAAGAACAAGGTCCTTTTAATGGAGGAGATAGAGAATATGACAGCGAATGACAGGGGAGGCCTGCAGGAGATTCTCAGCTTATTCAAAAAAACATCCATTCCAATAATTCTTACAGCTAATGACAAAAGCAGCCAAAACATAAAAACAATAGTTGCACAGTGCAAAGTTTTACAGTACAGTAAAATAGATAGCAGAAGCGCAGTGGGAGTGCTAAAAAATATAGCAAACAAGGAGGGCATATCCATACCAGAGAACACGCTCATGCAAATAGCAGTTACAGCTGCAGGAGATGTAAGGTATGCAGTGAACATGCTGCAGTACCTAAGCAAGAAGCAGAATATATCATCAGAAGACATTACCGTGATGAGAAAACACTTCACAACCGCATCGTTATTCGATGTCACAAAAGAAATCCTGCTGGGCCACACAAGCCCAAGCCAAAAGATAAACTTGTTTTTTGACGAGCCAGTATTCTCACTTCTGATGGTGTTTGAGAACTATCTCGAGGGATGCACGCTGAAAGAAGCAGCGGATGTGTCTGATAGCCTGAGCATGGCAGAGATAGTGAGCAATCGCATGCTAGCTAAAGACGAAAAAAGACTCTTTCCTGTTGCTGCGTACTACACGGCTGTAAAGCCCAGAATCAAGCTGTCGTCTAGAATAATGTTCAGCAAGTACCTAGGATTTGCATCATCAATGGCCGCAAAGAAGAAAAAAATAAACAAAGTGCTGAACGAGCTGAGCGAGAGAGGAATGCAGGGGGGATGGTCTGTGATATACGAACTATTCAACATAATGAACATACTAAAGAACAGCAAAGTGCCAGAAATCACAAAGAAAAAGTACATAAGAAGGCTTCAGATAGACAAGAACGTACTGCAGATACTCAATGAAGTAACGGGAGCAAAAATAAAGGCAAACGAGATGCCTCTCTTAAAAACAAAAAAAGACGAGATGTAAAAGCTGATGAAATAGCGCCCTTTGGGAAAGTATAAAGACCAATTACAATTTATTGAAATGAAAACTCTTTAGAGCTATTCTTATATTCTTGTAGTTTAAATGGCTCTGAGAAAAAAGTTTAATCCTCCCGACGCAGGAAGGTTAGATCTGGAAGTATTAGCAGTAAATCTAACGGAGAGTATACATGATTTGGTGTATCATCTTGATTTGGCATTATTATCTCGTTATTATTATCGTGGCTATAATAGCTATCATTTCGATTTGTATGTGTGCAGTAACCGTTTTGAGCCGGATGCGCATTTACATCCGCTCTTTCTGAGCTATTTGAGCCATGCTGTGATGGGTTTGCACTATTTTCAGAGTGCTCTAATGGGGTGCTCTGCAAATTTGGATCTTCAAGACCATTTCTCGCTCTTTTAATTATTATTGTTGGATATGGTTCATTGGATATACGTTTTGAAGAAGTTTTCTTTTGCTCTGTTGAAGAATGCATAGTTTTATGCCAGCGTAAGGACAAAGAGCTATTTTCACCACTATTGCCATCTTTACCATTATTGGCTCTCTCTTGACTGCTGCTTTCTATCTTTTGCAGCAGGGAAACTACTGCTATTAGAAACTGTGCGCTTTTTATTTTCATTCTAGTAATAAAATTTTTATCTATTTATAATTTTTGAATTATATTACTGATATGTCTCACACCCAGAGCAGCACAAGACTCAACCAGCAGTCAAACAGTGGTATAAAGAAATCTATATCATTATTTTCTTGATCTCCACTATTATTATTAGAATCTCTGTTCGTACTATTATGGTTATAGCTAGTATGCTTTTATTCTAGCCAGACTTTGCTCGAGCTAGCACAAAAATAGCATCGAGTGTTCTTAGCAACTGAAAATAAAACGCCTTTGCTAGAAACTGAGAGACAGAATGAAGGCTAGAAAGTGAAGTGTGCATTTGCAGAATGCGAATCCAGCCAGCAAACCAGCATTTACCTTATTTCTCCAAATGAAAAATATAATTAGGAAAAGTGATTTTTTTGCCATGGAAAATCAGAAACTAAGGAAATTACTGAATGTGTTAATAGCAGCTTCTTTTCTTGTCACAAAGTGCGCAGGAGGCGATGATGCCTTTAACAAGGAGTTCAATAGTGTTGGGGCGTCTTCTGGTGCAAAGAGAAAAGCCGTTGAGATAGAAGGGCTAATCGGCACACTCCTCCAGCCGTCCATGCCGGATCATAAGAGACAGAAAAAAGGAAAAAAGACATTAAACGACAAAACATCGCCGCTGCAGAAAGAGGTTGAAATCACGCTGGAAGACAGCGAGGAGGGAAGCCAGAGCCCTGGAACATCGCAGCCCAACAGGAAATATAATAAAAAATACAATAAGATAAATCTAAAAGATTTCGACATCGATCTGTGGAACAAAAGAAAACTGGAAAATAAGAGAAGAGTGGGATACAAGCTGAACCACAGATCAATATACATAGAGGAAAGCTCTGACGATGTGATACTCCTCGAAGTGAAAGAGGAGCTCTACCAGAGCAAGCTCAAGTGGACCATTAAAAACTTTGCTACAGAACTGGCCCATCTAATAGAAAAAAACGCAATGTGGTATTTCATTGCATGCAACTCCTCAAACATAAAAACAAAGTACAAAGACCTTATGGGGCTGGTAGAGCTGCTGAAGGATGATGGAAACGCAGAGATTAGGGAAACATTGGAGGGCTTTACTGGATACTATCCAAAGCTGTTTGAAGATATGATGGCATACATCAATGCGCACAAGCCCATGCGAACTCTCAGATACTCCCCTCTGACTTCTTGGACAGAAAAGATAGGCGATATCTATATAAGGAAAACTCTTGAGCCAAACTACTGCATGCCTGACGAACAGGAGGAAATCTCCCAAATAAACAAGAGATACCACACGCTAGCCTATGCTGTTCGCATGATCCTAGCGCTGCCTGAGGTATGCCAAGACTTTTCCAAGATTACGGCAGTTTTTATAACAACGGTCAACACTCCCACAAAAAGAGTCCTACTGAGCATAAAAAAGATGGTGCACATGAATATAAACAAAATAGTAGACGAAGAGGTGTACGAGGCTCTCTATAAAAATCTTGAAGTTGTGCTTTGGGAGAAGAAAATGGGAGAGATAACGGTCCTTGATCTGTACAGACAGATATACAAGATTCTCGGAGACTTCTACAAAGTAGCACCCGTGTGTGACAGAGAGACTGAACACATTCTAACAGGAAAGAACGTGATAGTAAACCAAGATTACACAAAATGCGAGATGACAGTGAAGCTGCCAACAAAAGACTCAGACAGAAAGGTCAACAGTCTTATATACTCGTCTGTGATGAACAAATGGAATGTTTCGTCTACCATAGAAACACACTATCACATATACTACATAGACAATACTTCAAGCCAGCCGATATGTATGTGCATGCCTATGTACGTGGATGAGAATGGAAAAGAAGACTATTTGCTCTCGATTGACAGCATAGTGCAGCATATAAAGATGCTGTACAGGATAGAAGAAAAGTCAGAGGATGTCTATCCGTTTAAGCTAAGGAAAGAGACAGGACAATGGTCTTATGTCAGGAAAGAAGAGAGGAAAAAAACAGCAAAAGAGCTCGTAGGATACGAAGTTGTTTTCTATCGCATTGAGAAAGGAGTAGCAGAAGGAAAGTTCACATTTGCAGAGTTTTGGCCTTTTAAGTCCCACGCAGAGGGCAGTGTTTGCATCCCGCTCTTCCTTACGCCTCTGATGCAGGCTGCTGTGGAGCTAGGGCCTTTTGCCATCGAGGGGAAGCACACAGAGCTAGACTCAATAGAATTTGAAAACAGAAAGCCAGATGTGTATAAATATGACAAGAAAAAGCACGGCAGCAAAAAATGTGCTAATGTGCAGAATTACTACGCCAATTTATACTTACTCCCAGATGAGGATAAAAGAGCAAATATAAACTGCTACATCATGGACTGCAAGGCGCCTGAAGAGGAAGATAGCACTGTTAAGGCTGTGTGGTACATAAAAATCCCCAGGAGTGTGGGTGAGTACACACACTGCATGCCAGATGACACTTTTAAGAAAGAAAAGAATTTGAGGAAAATAAGCGCGCTTGCTGAAATAATAGAGTCAAGAGAGTACAACAAGGACAGCGAGTTTCAAAGCTTCTGGCTAAGTGGCAACATCGGAGAAGAGACTAAACCAAATGAACAAGCACAGATCATACACAATTGGATTGTGCGGAAGAAGGGAGAGAAGATGGATGGTGAAGACAGCCCAGAAAAAATCAGAAAAAAAATTGATAAGGCAAAAGAAAAGCTGAAAGAAGAAGAGAAAAGACAGGAAAGTATAGAAAACATAGAAAGCAACGATCTGCGGGATATAAAACTGCAGAAGAACGCAGCAGCCTTTGGAAAGTGTTTTGCAAAGAGAAGGATGAATGATCTAAAGAGAACACTGCTTATAAAACTGTCTAAAAGACCCACTCTACAAACCGATCTCATAGTGTTCCGAAATGTGAACAGCACAAAGTCCAACCTGGGAGCACACAATGAGATTTTTGACACCCTGATCTCGCTCTACAACCGGCCGGTTTATGTTAAAACTCAATAAATAATATTGCACCTGAAATAATCTCATTTTAAAGCTTGTTGAGCTGTTTGAATGCACTGTAATTTTTAAACAATAATCAGTTTTATTCAAAAGTGCGAGAGTGATGGCTAGATCGTAAAAACAAATAAGAAGCAGCTAGTAGTTGAATAAACGGTCTAAATCCCTTGCTGCATCTTTGCTGTGCTTTGTGCTGTCTATGGAGTGTTTCGCATTGTTTTTGTGGTAAATAGAGAGAGTCTGAAAATGTTTTAAAATGGTGGCTGAGAAGAGAATATTCAAGCAAAAGACGAAAGAGAAAAGCGACTACATAAACGAAGTAGAGGCAATAAACTACCAAACAGCGGTGGAGGCCAAAAAGATACTCAACACAATACACAGAACCACAGACAAAACATCATCCATGCTCTACGAGCAGAGGGAGCAGCTGGAAGAGATAGCCAGAGAGTCAGAAACAGTGGAAGATAACCTAGAGAAAGGAAAGCAGCTGTCAATCAAGATGAAAAGAGCAGGGAAGATCATAGTCATAGGAGACAAAATATCAGACAAAATCAAAGGGTTCTTCAAGTCGTCGTCAAAACTGAAGAAAACATACGAGCCCTCAGCTTCCCCACCTCCCGAGCACACAGAAGCCCAAGACACCCTCCCTGCAATAGAAGCAGAGCCCACAGAAGAGTCAACAAATGATGTGCTGCTATCAATAAGAAACGGCCTGAAGTCTCTCAAGAGCAAGCTCACAGACCAAAACAAAGAAATAAAAAACCAACTTCCACTGATCAAAGACATAACAGACACAAACACAAAGTCAGCATCAGATGCAGTAAAAGTAATGAAGAACTTGAAGAAAATATAGCATAAATAAAAATAAAAATGGCGCACAGCATGCCTAAGAAGCCGCTCTCCATACTCAGACTAGAAACAGAGCTCAAAGACCTAATTGTCAACAAGAATGAAAAAGTAGCAGTGGAATACTCAGATGACGGGAGTGCTACAGTTTTTTATCATCTCAAGCTGACAGATGGATACTACAAAGGCCACGCGTACACATTCTCTATTAATATACCGAATAACTATCCATTCAGTCCTCCTAAAGCCGTGTGCAAGATGAAAGTACTGCACCCATCCATAGACGCATTGGGAAGGGTGTGTCTAAATATAACCCGAGAAGACTGGAGTGTCCAGCACGGGCTGCAGATCGTTCTCTTTGGCCTATCATCCATATTCTACGATGTGCCAACAGATAGCCCGCTGAACAAAGAGGCGCATTCTTTTCTAATGCAAGGGCCTGAGGTATTTACAAGAAAAGCAGAGGAAGTGTACAAAAGTAACAGCATAGCTGTAGATAGATGATGGTGAATAGGCAGTAAAAGATAAGATTAGTAGTGTTTTTGCAGAGCTAGATAGCATAGATTAGTAAAACTTTTATTGGCTATTTAAACTGAATGGTAAAAAATAAATTTATGAATGTTCTCTCGTGTGTTAGCAGCTCTCTTTTGAGTATTTCTGCGGATGGAATGGAATACTCCGTTGAGCCGCTTGGCTATTCTTTTATCCTTTACATCGATGGCTTGCTTGTTGACCAGCTATTTTTTACATCTAGGATTCTTGCCACTTCGATTACTGCTGGGTATATTTCAGTTGTGTTCGGTGATGGAGTGCATCTGTATCCACTTCGAAGAGAGAACAGAGTGGGGAAAGCAAGAAAAATAAAAATAGAAGGAGTAGTAAAGGCACAAGCACTGGAGGAGTATCTTATGCTGACTGTGGCAAGAGGCGGCGCAGTAGAAAACATTCTGTATAATGTAGAGAGTGCAATAGAACGCGTAATTGGCAGAGCAGAAAATGGACATTCTTTTGCAGTGCCAACTTTTACCATAAATAGAGCAAAGAGTAAAGATGATAGAATATTGGTGCTAAAATACGCTGATCACACCAGATGCATAGAAGAGAAAGATGCCGAACTAGTAGATAGTAGTGTATCTGATATAGAAGATGCAAAGACCGTGTGTAAACATGTCCTGTTTATTGATAAGAGAAATATTCTCAAAATTTCATCTAACAAGATAGTTCATGAGAAGATAAGCACACACAGAGAGCTATTGAGCATCTCTGATGCAGCAGTGTGTGTCACAGGTGAAGGAGCAGAAATAGCTGCATCGAAAAATAAATATAAAGTGTCCAGATACAATAATAAGTACGTGTTATACAATGTTACTGAAAATAGTAGTAATAACATTCTGAACAGAAGAATGGACAACAGCCATATAACAAATGACAAAACAGATAGCAGCGATAAGAGAACTGTTAAGGATCACGCCTATGGCCATGTGATAGAGCAGACAGATTGCATGCCTGCCCTGCTCCTGGGTGCACAGTCAGTGAGCACTTTTTCTTTTGATAAATATGTTCATCAGCTGCTCATAACAGGAATGATTAAAATATTTGCAGCTGACAAAGGAACTCTTAAATACTGCCGAATGGTGGGCCCTGTTACTACTTCTGGTTTAAGCAGTTTCTACGCATTTTCCACCCATCTGGCAACTCTGGTTGTTTTAGTATACGGTAGCAGATGCATTGTAGCAGAGTTTGGACACTTGGTTAGTCCTGTATCTGCTGTTAGTTTCCAAGATACGATCAAATCAGTAAGAAAGTATCGTAAAGAGATTTTAGTAGAGTGTTCTAGCGGGTACAGAAGGTATTCACTGGACAAGAATAGAAAGTTAGCAGAAGTACGCATACCAATGCTTCCTAATACAACCATCTGCTCACTTGATGCGCCTAACCCAAATGTACAGCACGCTCCTGTCACTTTTACTAAGCTGGACAACGGACTAACCGCGGTGCAATGGAATGGCAAAACCCTGGTTGAAGACAAGATGATAAATGATTTCCATCTGTTGCACACAGGCTATGTGTACACACAGGGGTTCTTGCTTGTGCTTTCCTCTGGCTCCATTTCATTTCCGTTCTGCATTAAGACTATTTCTGTGTATAACTCAGCCGACAGAAGCACGGTTCTTGTCCAGCTAGTCACTGGAGCAGTGCACCTGCTCTCCATTGCCAATGGCGCGGTAGAAGGCAGGATGGACTTATTCCACAGCATAATACCTGAAAAAATAGTAATGGTTTCTTTAGCGTCATTTCTGACTGTCTCTGATAATGTACTAACTCTATTTGGAGGATGCGAGTATATCCAGCCCACCATTCGAGCTGTCCTTCCTGCTTCTATACAAGATGCAATCATCACACAGGAGTACATACTAATTGTAACAGAAGACAGCAGACTGTACACGATTGATAGAACAGCACAGAGCACAGGGGTATCACGCGATGACTCAGTGAATGCTCTTTGGCAGAGCTTGTAGATAGTGCTGAATACATCAGTGTATTAGTCTATAAATAAAAATGTATTTTTCAAAAGCGTACCTGATGAAGATATGTACGGGTTTATTTTGATGTTTATTTTTAATATCTATTCCTTATCTCAGGCTCATCTACCTATGTTTCTATTTCTGCTTGAACAATCCGTTTCTTATGAAGGACAGGTCTACCTTGTGCCCAACGAGGTCTCGTATGTTATTCATCTTTCTGTCTATCATGACAGGCCTTTCTAGGGAAATGCCCCATCCAATTACACGGACATCCTCTGGGTAGCCCATGGGAAGAAGCATCTCTGGCCTAAACAGCCCGGAGTTTCCTATCTCCATCCACTTCTGCATTTCCTCGTGGTATCCAAACACCTCCAGACTGGGCTCGGTGTACGGGTTGTATGCTGGCTTGTACTTTACTTTGTTTATTCCGAGCTGTTTGAAGAACTCTTCCATGAACCCCATTAGGTGCGATATTGTCAAGCCTCTTCCCATGATTATTCCCTCCACCTGGTGGAACTCTGCTAGGTGTGTTGCGTCTAGTGTCTCGTTTCTGAACACTCTGTCAATTGAGAAATACTTCCTAGAATAGTTTATGTCATCACTCTTTTTTTCTTTCATGATTTTGTAGAGCAATCTTGTTGTCACTGCTGTTGTGTGTGTTCTGAGCACATTCTTCCTCGACTCATCAAGGCTCCAGGGCGCCTGGTATCCTAGCGACCCATACTCTCCCACCGTATGGACTCTTTTGACTTTCTCTAGATACTCTGCATCTGGGTCTGCTGCAGCTGCTGGATCTGCCATGAAGAAAGTGTCTTGTTCGTTTCTCGAGGGGTGTCTCTGCGGCTGGAAGAGAGCATCAAAGTTCCAGAAAGACGACTCGATGTACTTCCCTGCATCCATCTCTTCAAATCCCATGTGCAGAAATATTTGTTTTACTCTGTCTCTCTGCAGAGAAAGAGGATGCAATGATCCTCCGTACTTTGCAGGCACTGCTACAATGTTAAAGTTGTACTTCTTTAAATTGTCCACCACCTCCATACTATTTATCATCTCTACCGTTATGTCACTTGGTGCTGTTTCTTTTATGTGGTACCTCTCTCCTTTTGTTACAGTGTAGTGTGTTATTTTCTTTTGTGTTACTAGCTTGCGCTTCTTCAGCTCAGACACTTCATCGCTGCTCAGTGTGCTGATGTTCTGCAGATTGTGCCGGGTTGTGTCAGTGGCTGTGCCACTATTTCTCTCTAGCTTCTTGTTGTTCATCTTTAGCACTTTCATTCTTAGGCCGTTATTTTTTCCTTTTTTTATAAACTCAACCACCTCCTTGCTTTCTTTATTCTTGAACTGTTCTGTCTTCTGCAGCATCTCTTGGATCTTTTCATCGTCTAAGGGGGCATCCAGTAGAGAGTGCAGAATGTGCTCGGGAGAGCCGTACTTTACTATCTCTGCTCCTTCTTCTGTGGTGGATATGCTCTCGCACTGAACAGGAGTGCTTTTTATTCTTTCAAAGGACTCTAGCCTCTTCACTGCTCCTATTATTACGCTGTACTCTCCATCTATTTCCGTTGTTTCTGCTTTTTCTCTACTTTCCAGCAAACTGAGTATTTTACTCTCTACGTCTTCTATACTCATTTACTCACCAGAAAAATAAATTATTATAACCCAAGAGCACAATTTGAGAGTATAAGTTGAACAAACAGTATGCGTACATATGCACTCAATCCACCACTCTAGCAGCTGTCTTGTCTCTTATTTCTATGTATTGTAGATATTGGTGTAATAAGAAGTAGTTATAGAGCTATTTATTACTGTTTTATCATTATGCGGGTATCGTAGCTGTTCTGCTTATTTCTTCAGTTATGAATGTACATATTTCACTAACCACTGGATCGTTCTTTGAAGATGCCCAGTCCATTAGCTTCCTGCTGAAATCGTTCACAGCTGCTATCTTTACGACTGCTTTAACCACCTCAGCTAATGTGTGGTAACTATTTCCCTTATTTTCAGTGTTTTCAGTGTTATCTGCGCCATTGATCACATTGTCTGCATCAGCTGTATCATTATCTGCTGCAGTTCCGTAAGATACTTTGTTATTTGCCTGTGCATATCTATCTATTAGATAAGATTTAATCACCTCGCACACCACTTTCATTCCGCTCTCTCTTTCTGCTGCTTCTTCAAACAGCTTTTGTGTTGTGCTTTTAATCTCTGCTTCTTCCAGTAGCAGGAGAGAGAGGGTCCAGTAGTTGTCCTTCACTTTTACCATGCCGCTGCGCAGTAGGTGCCGTATTAGCACAAGCGCTGTTTTCTTCACCTCTGCGGTGTCTGATCTAAGGGGAATAAAGAGATTACATCCTGCATCCTTAACTAAACTGCTGAACGCCATGATAGAATCTGATATAATCACCAGCGCAATTATTTTTAGATCATCTGAGCCTGTTTTCATTATTTCAACAACTTCGTTCATGTACCGAGAATTGCACTCGCTGCTCACACTCATTATTTTTCCAAGCGATAGCAGAGACACTCTTCTAATGAGCGGGTGTGCACTGCGCACTCCGGACACTACTACATCCATGCATCCTTTGAGGGCTGACACCTCTCCAAACAGTATTTCGTGCTCCTTTGCAAAGAATATTCTATCTGCCATTTCTTCTTGCTCTTCTGTCGTATTCTTCATGCTGTTCCTTTTCGATCCAACACTCAGCCTTCTTTCTCTTATTTCAGGGGCTGTTGTGGAGATGCTTTCCTTTCTTTTTTTATTCGTCGTGTTTTTCTTTGTCTGGTGGTTCCATGCTGCCTCTACTCTTTCCAGGTGCACAGCCTCCTTTATGGCGATGTGTCCTACTGCGAATATAAGCGGAATGAGCTGTTTTTTCTCTGTAAGGACTGTAAGTACTTCAACAGCGAGTGCATCAGGATCAGTGCTCACCAAGTAGGATGTGTCTATCACTGCCTGGAGCAGTTCTAGGTTATTTTCATCTACTGCGGACAGGGTGTGCATCACTGCTGTGATGATCTCTGATGTGTTTCCCACTCTGTAGTCCAGGTTTCCAAGTATTCGTACTATTTCAGTTACTATGGGCACTTCTGTGGAGGTCTTCAGTATATTCATTATTCTATCCAGAGCACTTTCTGTCACTGCCCTATCTGTTGCTGTGATTCTCCTGAACAGGCGCAGATACGATATAACATTTCCGCTATTCTGGTCAATTTTGTAGAATATCGTGTTGAGCACTTCGATTCCCAGTATCCCTCGAAGCGATAGCTCTCTGATTATCCCTTCATACGATAGCGTATCCGCGTCAAAGTGCAGGAGGAGCTCAATCAGCTTTTTGGGGCTTCCGTCTGCCATTCGTCTGAGCTCCTCTGACAGAATGTCTGCTGTGTTCTTCCCATCAAGTGCAATTCTCTGCCAAGAAAGAAGGAAAAGATCCGGGAATACCTCAAGGGCATTGTCCATGCCGTAGGAATAGCACAAAGACACGTACTGCACTATTTCTGTTATTTCTCCCTTGCTCCCTGCCTTTAGCAGCTGTTTAATGATCTCCACGCTCTGGTGGATTGCATGGTAGAATGTAACTGCGCTTGCATAGTACGATGGGTTCGCATCTTTGTGCTTCTCTAGGCGGTGCATAGCCAGTGTTCCTCCGTCCAGAGCATACGGGTGGTTTTCCAGCGCTCTTTTAAAGAACACTATGGCCTTTCTTCTTACCATCTGTGTTTTGTCCATAATGCGTTCGTGGACTGATGTGTACACTTTTTCTTTTATTCCTTCCAGGAGGCCATTTGTGCTGAGTATTTCAGTGAGCGACTGGATAGCGCGCGCCCTGCAGAACGGGCTTACATCAACTGTTCTTTCTAATACAGCTGTCAGAACTGTGGAGAGCTCCTTTTCTCCTTTTCTTTCCTCTTCTATCTTCTTCTTCAGGCCTTTTGATATCACCACAGCTGACTCAATGGCAGAATTTCTTATGCACTGGATCTCTGATGAAATGCTCTCCAGCAGCGGCCTAATGGTATCTTCTATCCCGTGCTCTCTTATTGACTCACACACTCTGAGGATTAAGCTGCTGTAGTTCTTCTGCAGGGTGGTGTTCTTGCTTATCTCGCTCTCTTTAAGGAGATACTCTAAGACATCAGGGAGAGTATGTTCATCTTCATCTTCATAGTACGATGCTGCGCCATTTTTACTCTTATCATTTTCTTCAGGGCCAGTACTGCTGTCTAAACAACGAGATCTTCTTATTGCACTGATGTATAGAAGAATCTCTGTTAGTATGTTGACGGTGTGCTCGTTGTGCAACATGGCAAGGGCATTGCTTCGTATCCAGTGGGTTCTAAACTCCACTTCTTCAAATATTTTGAACACTGTGCTTTTTATCTCAATCTGTATCTTTTTACTTTCTAGACACTTAAATAATATTTTGCAAAACATGTCGTAATTGCTCCTTGTCTCATCACACAGCTCTTTGCTCTTTTCTATGATTCTAAGCACTACGCTGGGCGTATCCTCCACTCCATCCGGCTTAAAATATGCTGGAGCAATGCTCAGGAACACTGTTGTGTTGTCAATGTTGCTAAGTATGCTGGAAAGTATGTCGCTCTTAAGAGGGTGCCCCTGGAGGCTAGAAAGCAGCTCCGAATATTTCTCTGGCTCGTGGCTCATTGGCCTGTCTTTAAGATAGGAAATAAGCAGCTCAAGCGCTCTTCCCTCTGCCATTCTAAAATAAAAAAGCAAAACAAATTCTATTAATAACCTTCCATTCTGTAGAGGTTCTTTCCAGAGACAGAATAAAAATACTGCAGTAGAATAATAATAAATTATTTATTTATTTCTGGGCTATATTCTCTTCTCTTCCCCCAATTGCAGCTTATACCACACTATCTGTGATAGATAGCAAATGATAGATGAGTTAATGATAGATACAGCTCATGGATAGTTAGATGAATAAATAGCAATAAGCGGTGGCGGATAAATAATGATTTATTTTTTATTGTTCTGTTTAGTGGATGGAACTAAGTTTAGAACGATGGGGTTTACCGAGTCTACGTAATAGATGCCTCTCTTCTCTATCTGCACAAACTCTCCCTTCTTTGCTGCCTTAATCCTTTCATCGCACTGAAGAATCTCTTCGCTCTTTGAGTCTTCGTTGAACACTTCGTTTATCGTTTTGTCTTCCATCTTGTCAACTGTGATCAAATCCCCGTACTCCACTGTTCGCACTTCAACACTCTGCTGCGGCACCCAGGTGAGCCTCGCTTTCGTGTTCTTTGGGTGCACCTTGTGCGATGTAACTGTAATGGGATCTTCTGCCTCCACTTTATACGTCCCCAGGCCCATCAGTGTGATATCATCACCCACTGCAACTGATGCGTCCTTTAGGTCTTTCCCCTGAACATACACTGTATTCGTTACTATTCTGTCTATGGGCTCATCGCTCTGTGCCTCCTTGCTATCTGCTAGCGTGATAGAAACCATGTCTTCTTTACTTATTCCATGCACTTTCTTGGCTGCCTTATCTATTGCTTTTCCATTCATAGACCACAGTTTATCCCACTCGAGTAGCACTGTGTTTTTAGATGGGCCCTGCATTATAACGTACTCCTTCAGCACCTGCTGCGTAAGGCCTTTCCTCAGTATTCCTCTCACTGTTGGCATTCTTGGGTCGTCCCAGCCTGACACTCTGTGCTGCTCCACCAGCTGTTTCAGGTTTCTTTTGCTTAGCACTGTTTTTTTAAAGTTGAGCCGAGAAAAGTCCCATATAATGGGTCTATTGGGCAGGCTCAGCGCAGATATAAACCACATGTACTGGGCATTCCTGTCCCTGTACTCGTTTGTTCTCAGAGCCAAAGTGACGCCTTCTATGCTGTCAACTATGGGACATGCAAAATCATACGTAGGATACACCCTGTACTTAGCTCCTGTGTGGTGGTGGGGTGTGGTGTTCACTCTGTATATCACAGGATCTCGCATGGCTTTATTCAGATCGCTCATGTTTATCTTGGCGCGCACGCAGTAGTCATCACACTCGTCTGTGCTTATCATTTTGTCAAATATTTTTAGCGACTCTTCTGGACTCAAAGTGTCTCTATTTTTTGAGTGTATGCCTTTGTCTCTTTCCATGCGCATTTGTTCCACAGGTGTATTATCGCAGTACGCCATGCCCTTCCCTATCATGTCCTTGGCGAGTTTTATAAGCGTGTCGAAATGATCGCTTGTTCTTGTCTGTGTGTACTTTGTTATTCCCAGCAGCGCGATGTCCTCTAGTATTGTTTCTTCAAACTCTCCTGTTTCCTTGGAGGGATTTGTGTCGTCCATTCGCACTATCAGCCTTCCGTTATATCTCTCTGCGAAGTACTGGTTCAATAGGGCTGCTTTTGCGTGGCCAATGTGGAGATAGCCGCTTGGCTCGGGAGGGAATCTCGTGACTACGTTGTATCCTTCTGGAAGACCGATGTCAAACGATGCCTGGTCTTCTGGCTTTGTTGTATCTTTCTTCTTTTCTCTCTCGTACTCTTTCAGTGTCTCTGCGTGCCGATTCAGCTGTTCTGTGTAGAAGGCGTCTAGTTTAGGCTGGGCGCTTTTTAATTTCCCTGCTTTCTGCAAATTGACAAAAATTGTCTCAGAGTACAAAAGAAAAAACAGAAGCGTCTTCTGGGTCTCCTGCAGACTTTCCAAATCGCTGCTCTCCAGCACATTTGATACTTCAATAACCTTTGGGTACGCCATGCCGATCTTCCACTCTTCAAGGTACCCCATTGACTCAAGAGATAGCGAAGGAATGCTTTGCAATAAAGATAGCAGCGAGGGATAGTTGAAGCATCCTTCTTCCTTTTCATTAGAATACTCTACACTTACTGCATCGTGCTCCTTGGCTAGCGCGTATCCCAGCACATGGTGTCTCTTCCCGTGGTTGTACAATATTTTAACCATAAAAAAAGACAAAATTAGACTAATAAATAGCTGTTATTCTTGCGTGAAAGCAGCTAGCAAATAGATCATTGGGGAATCTGCTGGAATAAAACAGCCAAACTGCCATTGTACAGGCATTGTACAGAGACAGGGATGCATCAAACATCGGCTGTTTCACAGTCTGAGAATATCAGATGACTATTTATCTACTGGCTGATAGCTGATTAGTCTGAATAAAAGTAGATGGATGCATAGCTTAGGAGCATCTGTAATTTATGCGGATGAACAGCTGCTGCTCTTTATTTTCAGATATTTCTCTGTTTTTATTGCTCTTTGCTATGCACACAGTTTCTTTATTTCTGTTTGGCGTCTGTGTTATTTTGCATTTTTTTATAGCTTCTTTCATGGATAGAGTGAAAAGATACACGAAGGAGGCCAAAATAGGAGAAGGAACCTATGCTATAATCTATTTCGGGAAGGAGTATCTGGTGAGCCCTTCTGACGCCTCTGACGAAATAATAACTGAGTCGCCTCCTTCAAACGCGCTTCCTGGGAGAACAGTGGCCATAAAAAGAATAAAGAAGAATCCTTCGCAGCTGGACATTGAAATCGCAGCCCTCAGAGAGATAAAACACCTGAAATATCTGAAATCTGAGCACATAATTGATCTGTTCGATATAATCGTGCAAGACAGACACATCCACATAATACTTCCATATATGGAAAGCAATCTGGAGGTGATCATAAGAAGCAAAAAGCTAATATTCATGCCGCAGGACGTTAAAGCGTGGATGCTTATGATATGCAAAGGCCTCCACGAGTGCCACTCGCACTTTGTCATCCACAGAGACATTAAGCCCAACAACATTTTGGTGGGGAAAGATGGCTCTCTCAAGCTGGCAGACTTTGGTATTTCAGTTGACATCGGGTTTCCGCTGCGAGCACTCACACCGAACGTCGTCACCAGATGGTACAAAGCGCCTGAAATTCTCTTGGGGTGCACTAACTACACTTTTGCGATTGACATATGGGCACTTGGCTGTTTGTTTGCTGAGCTGCTGCAGCGCATCCCATACCTCCCGGGGCGCTCAGACACGCACCAGTTGGAGCTTATATACTCGGTGATAGGAACGCCTACCGAAGAGGAGTGGAAGGAGATAGGACACAAGACAGAAGGCTTGGCTATTCCCAGCCACATTCCCAGGAGTAACTTTGCCGTATCATTTGGCGCAGCTGGAAATGATGCAATTGACCTACTGAATAAAATGTTTGTGTATGTCCCAAGCAAGAGAATAACAATTGATGAAATCCTAAGCCACCCCTACTTCACAAACACGCCAGCACCCACGCCTGCTGAGAACCTTCCGTTCGATGTCCCTGCACAGAGTGTGTAAGCGCGCCAACAGAAATTGGATAGTACCATTTTTATGTAAACATTATCTGGAGTGTATTATTCAATAAAATTTTTAAATAGAATGGAAGAGAGAGCGCAACTAGTGCCAGCTGGCAAGCTAACGGCTCTGCTGTCTTTGATAGATAAAGAGGAAAAGATAGACAAAGAAACCATTTCAATACTCTCGCAGTTCACTGAAAAGTACATCAACGACATTCTGACAAGAGCAGCACTGCTGGCCAAGCACAAAGGCAGCCAAATAGTCACAGGGGAGGAGATTAAGTTTGTGCTGGAAAAAGAGTTTGACTGCTTCATTGGCTCGGGCATCTGAGTAGTATTAAAGCATAAAAATCCAACTGTCTGTTGATCTATAAGTTGTAGCAGTGCAGTTGGAGTATGCTAGAGTGTTAATAAATCTATTTCTATATCTGAAAATGCTCTGTATGCACGCACCAAAAGTGCGTGATTACTATCACAGCTGTTTTTTCTCTGAAAACACAAACAAACATTGACTTTATTGAACTAATGTCTTAAGTAGTCTGCACAGTGTTTTGATTATTTCTTATATGTACTAATGAACATACTCAAACTAATTGTAGTAGCAACTTATCTATAAAGAGCTGTATCGGCACTCATAAGGCCCAAAGTAGATTCGCTGATTTATTAGCAGCATATCTAAAATGATACATGCAGAGGTAAAAACATTAGATATATTAAATTTTGTTTTAGTTTATTTATAATGGAGATACTTCATAGAGCTATATGCATGTTCTTAATTTTAACAAAGATAACTGAGGGCTATAAGATACCCAACCCATCTTCCAGCGAATATTCGAAAGGCGCAAACACTTCAAATGACAGAAAAGAGCTTATAGAGCTTATTATCGAAATTAACAATATGAATGTAAAAAACAATAATGTGTTTTATAGTGAAAACAAAGAGTATACTGTAAAATTTCTAAAAGTAGATAAAGTGTACAATGCCTTTTTAACAGGCGATACCCAGACTGCATTTATTTTTGATATGATAGAAAGAGACTTTTTAGAAGAGCATCCGCACTTTGTTTTAATAAACAACAAATCCAGAAAATTATTCATGGAAAATAACACGCATATCATAAACCGTTTGAGAAACAGAGAATACAATGAAAATGCACAGTTTCAGATGAAAGAAGTTAAAAATGAATTTACGGAAATGTGGGGCACAAATACCTACAAATGTATTATAATAGCAAATTTTAGAGAAATAGATAAAATAGACCGCAAAATACTACTAAATTACAATTATAAAAGTATAAATGAGTTGACAAATAATTTAGAGAAGCTTAGTTTTACTAAAAACACAGAAATCGAAGTATGGACGCGCCCTCTTATTTTAAGAAATGACATAGATCCTGAAAAAAAAGACACTGTATGGGTTGAGTTTATAAGAGACAAGGATTTAGATGGTAGCCATTTTAACGATAGGGACAATCGATATATTCTCAGATTTATATTTGATACTTGCTTGAACATTTCTAATGAGTCAAACAATAACACTATCAACTACATGAATGATAGTAATACAGGCGTATATACTAGATCGTCAAACCATCGCCTTGAAAACAGTGCTCCACTCGATGCCAGCAGCAAATTTAAGCACTCCTATGAGCTTAGCGATCCACTCGTTCTTATTTTGATCCATGTAATGGCAAAAAATCTTATTCCTACCTCTTACATAGGCCAAGAAGACGAGGTTTTATTTTTCTACAATAGGAATTTATCCTGTAAAAATATAACTTCAGTTGATATATTGAAAAATTATGGACTGTATTTTTTATTCCCCACATGGTGCATTCAGATATGCCTCATGCACATGAATCGTAAAAACGAAACTGAATTTTATAATAGTGATAATTTAGACTATGTATACAACCAAATTATAAGGTGTTTCTACATTCAAAACTGCCTGTCCACTTTAACTTTTACAGTTACAGAGGCATCGAGTACTATTGTTTTAGCAAATTATGATAGCATGGATGAAAAAGTGCCAGTGCTAGAGTCTTTCGATAGGTACAAGCCCACTCTATACGCAAACAATATCCTGCAAAACTATCATAAACTTGCCTGCAGTTCAGCTATAATAGCTAATGTGCTCCATGAAGAACAGGAAATGAGAAAGCACGAAGAACTATACACAGCTTTGGACGAAATAGCAGACATAAAAGAGAGCAGTTTAATCGTGTGGAAAGACCCCCTCAACTATTCCGTCATTTGGGTCAAGTTTAGAAAATCAAAGTTTATAATGGCACTGCTGAATATACTGAAAAATAAAGAAAAAGAAATGGTGGATGCTTTAGAACAAACACAAAACAAAGAGGAAATGCCAACAGAGTATGAACTAGAACAGCTGCAGCTAAACATCGCAAAACTACAAGAACTATCAGAAAGCTGCACAGAAAATGAAGAAATGGTATTTCCATGCAACAGAGATCACTTGATTTTCAAAAAAATGCTATCTTTAATACAGGCTAGCTTGCTAGCACGCAGCTTATTTTTGAACATACAGCCCTTGATCAAACTGCTCAACGATATTATTTAAGCAGAGCAACACAACACAGAGATGTTCTCACTATGTATTGTATAAGTTAAAATTTATTCCCACAAAATAAAGCAGTAATATTTCTATTTTTCTTACATATAACTAGTATTTCTAAAAAAATTAGCTGCAATTCGGAATTCGTACTTTTTGCGATATGCTCGTGAACTTGGAAGTATCTTGGTTTATTTATTCAGTTATTTTACGTACCCTTTCGATACAAATCTGTTGTAGTACTCTTGGTACGATGCAGACACAGGAGAAGGACCATCGTCTAGAAGCATCGACTGCATGCCCTCTAGCAAAAAGGCATGGCCATCCTGCTGCACAATGTAGGTCACAGGATCAGCCACTCTTCCATCGACCATATAATCCATTACATTTCTTATTTTTTCATTTTCGCTGCTTCCAGGCGTCACTGTCGCTCTTCCCTGCACTCCCTCAAACACTTTGTACTCTGAGTTGCTTCCTACAAATATGTACGATAGCACTCCGCAGTCCAAGTAGTACGTGCCATCTGATCCCACTACCCCTCCAGTGAGCCTCACAGGAGACGGAAGAACTATTTCATCTGCACTCTGCGCACCGTCATTTCCATCGAGTCTCACAAGAGTTGGGTATATCACAGCATCTGCCATTTTAACAGGCGCATCCTGAATCGCAAGACAAATGACTCCCCTTAGATCAGGAGACACTCCTTTGTTGCTATTGCTACTAGCGTTACTATTGAGGAATATTTTGCTTTTTATCAGAGCGTGTATCAAGCTGGGAAATACTCCCATTGTTCCTGCTAGGCCTGTGCACTCAATGCAATCTGACGCTAAAGCGAGAGCCCTCTGGACTCCTGTTCCCTTCTTTTGTATCTCTGCATCGAGAGCCTTGAGTGCTACACTGTGCACTACTCCCAGTACGTCAATAGCCGTAGGCCCCAGGGGCACTGCAAAGTTAATAATTCGAACAACTCTCTCTCCCTGCGCGTTTGTGAATATCGAGGCAATTTGCACAGTTAAGCCCTCCAGGACTAAATCGTCATCATAATCGAGCTCAAACGAGAAAGTCTTCCCTCTCCCCAGTCTGGGCAGTCTTATCAGCCCATCATTCTGTGCATCCACTCCCCAATACTGTTTTATACTTACTTCATTTGACACGCGCACTCTGCAATACGCATTGTTCCCATTGTCCAGCGAAAAGTGCTGTATTAGGTCCCACTTAAGAGCGTTCTTATCCTGTGTGTAGTGGCCTATGTATGCAGGATAGTACCGCACATACCCCCCTGTCTTTCTGATAAGAGGCATAAGTGTGGGAATGTCTACAGTCTTCGAGGTAAGAACGTACATATTGATTGCAATGTTTTTAGTGGTTAGCTCAGCTGCCATGTTATCGTAGAATGAGCTGCTATTGATGTGGGAGTATGCTGATTTGCTAGAGAGAGACACAACAGCTCCCGGGCGCATAGATGGAGGAGTCACAAGGAAGAGGAATGCCTCTGCTCTTCTATTGGTGATCTGCGATAGGACCTTAAGGGCTAATCCTAGGGCATTCCCTGGCTCTCTTTGAGCTGTGTGTGCGTACTCCTGTATCTGCTGCATTCTTCTATCCAGAGAATCTTTCACATCTTGTATTCGTATGGTGTACTCTGTCTCCATCAGCATAGGCAGGGATCCCTCTATTTCGTTTACTCTATCAATTACCAAGCTTTCATCCTGCATCCTAACAAGCTCAACGGAAGAAGAAAGAAGCATAATGGAGAGGGTAGCTCTCTCGTGGGGATCGTTTAGGTATATTAGTGTTTCTTTTATCTGCTCTAGCACTGTGCTAAATATGCCCTTCTCCATGCTCTCTGCGGTGCACTCTATAATGAAGACAAGAGAAGCTGGGGGAGGCGTGGACTTCTCCGATGGTGATACAAATTCAATAATGCTCTCTGTGAGAATTGGGTTGTTGCTGGCTCTCTTGTTGTTTTCTGTGTTCTCTGAAGGGCTGAAGACTCGCAGCGATCCTCCGTACGAGTGCAGAGGAGAGGAGGCATTGTTTATGCTCCGACAGATGGAGCATCTCCACTTGTATCCAGGGGGTATCACCTCACTGTACGTGTTTAGGTATGCCTTGCAGTGCGAGCATCTTGGGATTGACTCTACTCTTGCCACTGGCTGTTCGTTGAAGGGGAGAATGGTAGCAGAAATAATGAAGGGTATTTTTGTTTTCTTCAGCTCAGCCTTTTTTGAAGGAGCAGAAGTAAAAGAACTGCGAGTGTACGTGTACTCCTGTGCTTTGATTTGCGATATTATTTCGTCTGTGTTCTGGGGGTTGCTTGCTCCAATTGAAGCTATACTAGGATGCATATATTTTGCAAAACAAAGAGAATAAAATATTTAATAGAATTAAAAGATAGAAGCAATGAAAAAAGAAATGAACAAAAACATCCCAGTTGTTCAGTATTCAGAAAAGCAGGGAAAGAGCAAACAGAGTACAAGTGAGGAAGTAAATAGATGGTAAATGGGTAGCAGATAAATGAATAGATTAGATGGTAGATAAATGGTTGGTTAGTATAACTTAAGGATAAAGAAAAGAAAAGCGTACTTATTCAGACGATTAGAGAGATGATAGATCCGCTAAATAAGAAAATGAAAACGAAAAAGAAGAAGGAATCTTTATGCTACAGCAGTTTAACCAATAAGCTACTCTTTAATCCTAGTAGAAAGTGCAGTAAATAGTAAAAATAGTCCAAAATGAATTTATTAAAAGTATGCATCAATACTCACCAGACTCGCTAGGAATAAATATCAAAGTGCTCGGATAATAGTAAATCAAATGACTGAATGATGAAACATAACTAAATAACCAGCCTAATGTTCTGGTGTTATTTACTTATTACTCCCTCCTGTCTGTATGAACATGCTCAGTATCTGCTCGCTCGAGGTTGCTGTTTCTTTATTCTTATCTTCTCTTTTTCTTATGAACCGAGGGAAGCGCAGGGATATCCCTCTTTCCTCTGGCAGCTCCTGTGCTCCTTTCGCTGCTGTGTATTGGGGCGATGCTGATAGGCCTGCTGCTGCAACCTCCCAGACGAGCGATGGCTTGAACCACACATCAGGCTTATTGTTGATGTTTGTATCTGCCTGCGGTATGTCTGTGATGAGCTCTTTCAGGTCTTTGCTTATTTCTTCTAACGCTATCTCTGTGAAGCCTGTGCCTATTTTCGTTACTGTTTCTACCTCTCCGAGGTCATTGATGCAGCCTAGTAGGAATCCTCCGTACACTCCTGTTCTTTTCCCTTTTCCTATGTATCCTCCTATCACGAGCAGATCAAGTGTCTCGTGCAGCCCTGTGATGTAGTCTGATTTAAGCTTAATCCACTTCTGACTCCGCTTTGACGGCTCGTATGTAGATAGGCTGTCCGCACTTTTTACCATCACTCCTTCGCATCCTGCAGCCAGTGAGTCTGTGAATATTCCCTGCAGCCTCTCTGTGTTGTGTGATGTGAATTCGTGGCTAGTGGCTATCTCCACCTGTCCTTTGGTCTCTGTGAACGATTCTTTCAGTATTTTCTTTCTCTCTTTTATCGGCAGTTTATTGAGGGGGGAGCCAAGGAATATGATGTCAAAGATGAAAAGAGCTATTTCACTCTCTTCTTTGTTTCTGTTGTGCTCTGATATCTTTCTTTTTCTGTTGGAGAGAGTCTGGAAGGAAAGGATCTTGTGCGTGTCTCTGCAGTACGCAACCACCTCTGCATCGAGTATAAAGTCTTTTCCCGTTCTATTCGCCCTCTTAAGCGGCTCTATTATCTGGCTGAATCTTTCCGTAGTATTTTCAAGGCCTCTGCTGAACAGCTCTACATTACCGTTAAGACAGTGCGCCTGCACTCTTTCCCCATCGTATTTGTACTCCACCAGATACTCTTCTTTGAATCTAGCAGCTACAGTCTCCGGGTCTTTCTCTGCCATAGCAAGCATCGGTCTAAGGGGGTACCCTGGTGTGATAAGAGAAGATGTGAGAGAGCTAAGGCCTTCCTTGAAGAGTCGCTTGAGAAGTCTTTCAAAAGACGGCAGCTGGGAGTATGCCTCCTTCATTGCCTCCATTATTTCATTCTCTGCTTCTGTCCACTCTATCTTCCCCCCTTCCTCAAAGGTCTCTATCTGCACATCATCCTTTATTTCGCTATTTCTAACACTGATGGAGCTAAGTCCATCAATTGTACCACTGAGTGCACTCGTACTCCCAGTGAGGCCATCAGTTGTACCGCTAAGAGCCCTTGTACTCTCAGTAAGTGCACTCGTATTCTCTGTAAGAGCGCCAGTGTCTGTAAGGGCACTAGCAAGCTCATCAGGATCATCCCTGGATTTATTATCAGGATGATCTCCACTGAGGATGCTTTCAGCTGTGCTAATGAGGTTATCAGCTGTGCTAGTAAGACTTTCTGTAGGAGAGCTGAGAGTACTAGAAGTGCTAGTAAGATTATCAGCTGTAGTATTAATAGCGTTAGGAGAATTAACTGACACTGAGGTGCCTCCTGCTGAAAGGCCATCACCAGGGCTACTAAGCCCCTCAGATGTAACACCAGCTGTAAGACCAATAGTGCTGGGACCATATTTATCTTTACCAATACCACAGATATTACTGATATTATTACCACTATTATTACCACTGATATTACTGATATTATTAGTGGCATTTTCTGCACTACTTTGTCTACTATTGGAGAATCTCTTCTGAAGAGCCAACGCCAAACTGCATAGGACTGTCTGCGTAGAGAGACCCATCTTCATTTTCCCATCTACTATTCTTATGATGTACTTTACTTCTTCGTCTGTTGTGCACTGTGCTAGTAGCTCGGCTATTGCTTCTGTTTTCTTCAGTGCTGCTTCTTTTCCTGTGATTCTCACGATGCTTTCCAGCGCAGTGAATACGTGCGACAGTAGCAGAGCTTTCTTGCGTATGAAGAACAGCCTGGGACGCATAGATACAGTCACCACTGTGGAAATGTCTCCCTTTTCCTTCATTCTCTTCTTCAGTGTCTCCACGGGTGTTGCACTGAACTTGCTCAGCGCCTTTAGGAGAATGTTCTCGCCTATGTTCATCTCCAGCCCATTTGACTCAGACGAGACTCTCGCAATGGAGAGATAGACTGCCTGCACGAGCTCAGCCTCGTCTAGAGGGGCAAAGTACTCGCCGAGTCTCTTTATCATTTCCTTCCTTGAGGACACTTTCGAAAGCTCTTCAAAGCATGCCGCTGCGCGCGCCCATGTCTCTTGCATAAAAATAAAAAAGGGCTCGCCGGGATTTGAACCCGGGACATTCCGATCTGCAGTCGAATGCTCTACCACTGAGCTACAAGCCCTCCATACACCCTAGCAAACGAAAACAATCTGTCCATCAGACATTTTATTCTCGGCCTCGTTTATTTTTTCATGCGGGCCTTCAGACTAACCAGAAGCAAAACGCCCCTGAGCACTGCTTCAGTGTTGGAGCTGTTCCAGAAGATAGACGCCAAGCTGCCTTTTATCAACTACGAGCCCGTTGCTGACTTAGTCCCGTCTTCTGGCGAGCTGTTTATCATCGAAGGACTCGACACGCCCGTGGCAGACGGGCAGATATACGCCACGCCCTCGGATATTTTCCACGAAGAAAAGTTTGATGTGGTAATAGACAGAACAAAAACATCGCCAAAACTCTTCAGATTCATCTACTACAACAGAACAAGCTGGTACAGAGTAGCACACTACCTCATATGCGAACAAAAGACGGGCAAGAGCGCACCTGCGCCACAGAACAACACAGTCGCTGATAGAGTATGCAGTAACTTTCTGGAGGAGTATGCCTTTCTGCAGGACATTCTGTTCAGGCCGGAGAAAGCACAGAACACAAATGGCCATCTAGACCTGGCGTTCTGGAAGGAGCTGGTAAACAGACACATTGAAGACATAGTGGACAGCAAATAGCAGTGGTAAATATGATAGAGACTGCTAGATACATAATAAATAAATCACTCGTTATAATGTTATTCTTTGATCGTATCTAGTTGCTCTTATTTCAGTTATAGATAATTTCTATCTGAACAGATAAAAAGAATGAACAGAATAGTTGTACATCTTATTTCTTATCTATTTATGGTATTCTCAGGTTAGTAGTTGGCTAATGATTATTTGGTTGATTATTTATTCAGTGATTACTGGTAATGGGTGTTATTGAGTCTACTTTATTTTTTATTTTTTGTCCTATTGTTTTAAAATGAAAATAAAATTTACTATTCTCTATGCTTTCATTTTGTTTTACTTTTGTTTTACTATTTTTCTTGTTTTGTTTTTGCAAGAATGCAAAGTAAGCTGTACACCGAGGTTGGATACTACGTCAGAGAAAAGATCGATAGAAGAGTTCCTCTGAAAGACTTTCTGGACTACTCGTCTGTTTCTGTGCCCGTTAATCTGGAAGAGGGAAAATCCAGAATAGTCATCAATTATGGAGCCATGGGCGGTAACTATCTGGTTGTCTTTGGAGTTCTCCTGTGTCTATTCCTTGTCCTGCACCCCGCACTCATCATTCCCATAGGGATATGCTTTGGGCTTCTCTACATCGCAACGGAAAATGATAGCGAGTCGATCAATATAATGGGAAACGAGCTCAAAAAGCTCCATCTTTACTGCGTGGCGGTGGGTGTTCCTGTTCTCTTCTTCATATTTATGCCCAGCTCTCTTGTCTCTCTTTTCTTCACCCTTGCTCTGAGCATTCTGCTGTGCATTGGGCACATGGTCATATACAAGCCCCCAGCTAACGCGAATGAAGAGCACATATAAGCTAATAAAGATTTTTCTATATTTATTCTATTTATTAGTAAACTGTTGTGATTGCAGTATATTGTAAATCTTTGCAATTGCCATTACGGTTACATCAATCTTTGTAAAATGACCAATTGCCATGGATGTGTTTCTGTCTTCTGTCTTCTATTTTGTGTTTAATTTACCCGTAATGTATCTTCATAAGTCTTCTGACCTTTCCTGCGGGTGTTTCGTACTTCATTGGCGCTATCTCTTCTGCAAATGGCTCTGCCATCTCTGTTCCTATCTCGTTCTCCAGGGCTATCATGTCTGCTGGTATTTTCTCCAGTATTCTCCGTACCTCGCTGTTTCTCTTCTCCTTCTTTGAGACCGTTGGGTTTTCGTTTCTTCTGTACGTCTCTAGGCCTGCGCCTGGAATTATCACGTTCTCTATCCCTATGCCTGTTCCCACTGTGAGAATGTCTTCATACGGTCTGTATGCTAGAGAGTGTGCAACTTCTCTTCCTATGTGGTGCTGTATCTGCGGCTTCATGTGTTCGTTGTACACTATCACACTCCCCTTCTGCGCCACTGCCAGCTTGCCTGTCTGACTGAGCCCCATCTCAGAGACCAGACTGGGAAGAGTGATCTCGTGGAGCGGGGCGTACATATTCCTGTTATCCCATGTTTTTATTTCATTTTTTGAGGCTGTGTACAGCACTCTTCCATTGTCCGACACTTTGCAGTGATTCACTTTGGATCTGTGGCAGAGCACTTTGGACAAGTACTCTGAGGATCTCGGAGACCACATGGAGACCGTGCCCGATGACCCTGTCAAGTAAACCACGCCATTTGTTCGGTCTACTTCCACTTTTGACTCTCTTTCTTTTGTTTTTATTTCTGACACGAGTTTCCCTATTGTTGTATCTTGGTATCGAAGATATCCGGTCCTTGAGACAGAAGCGAGAAGAAAGTGGTCCTGCAGGAACTTGATGCTCCTCACGTGCCGGGCATCTCGGAGCACGTGCACCTCCACTCCCTGTTTGTCGTATATATACACAGCCTGCGACTGCGCCAGAGCGTAGAACCCGCTGCTGTGCAGGAATGTTCCGTCGTATATCCTGTCACCTAGGAACCTCTCTGAATTGGCAAAAAGCTTCATTGCATCGACGGACTTTACCTCTTGTTCTCCCAGGTACAGCACAGCATCACCCGACACAGAGTAGCGCACAGTGTACGGCCCGTTGTTCATTGACAGGCTGAATGCCTTCTCTTTTGTGCTTATATCCACCATGCTGTTTATCTCTTCTGTTGAGACGATTCCATCTGCTTCAATGTGTCCTTTCTTTGACGTGTTCAGTATCTTGTAGTTATCCTTGTATCTGTCGTACGACACTTTTATTTCTTTCTGTTTTTCTATCTCTTCCTTTTGTTTCTTGAGAGTCATCCAATAAAATTTTTACGCTCTTTTATTCTCAATGTGAAAGCGCTCTTTTTAATTATTCGTACAAATGGACGAAGATGAGACGAGAGGCCAGAGGATCATCTACGACGGAAAGAGAATGAGAAAAGCCATCACTCGGAGGAATGTAGACTACAATGGGCCACTTCTAAAGTATAAACTAGAAGGAAGATTTGGCGCAGTCCAGAAGCACCCCTTGTACTCCATCTACGTCCCTCCTGTCACCGGCTCTTGCTCCATCTCCAACAGCCTAACGATCAACCTAGCACACACCAGCATAAACAAAATACGAACGCCAATAAACACGATAAGATACGCCCCAAATGGAAGAAGACTCATCTCAGGTGCTGCGACAGGAGAGTTCACTCTGTGGAACGGTTTTAGCTTTAACTTTGAGACCATTCTGCAGGCACACGACAGCGCGCTCAGGTCTCTGTGCTGGACGCCCCACGGAGACTATCTTGTCTCTGGAGACCAAATAGGCGTGGTGAAGTATTGGCAGCCATCAATGAACAACCTGCAGCTGATAGAAGCGCACAAAGAAGCCATACGAGACATCAGTTTTGCTCCTCGCGGTAATAAGTTCTGCACAGCCTCTGACGACGGGACAATAAAGGTATTTGACTTCCAGACAGCGAAGGAGGAAAGGAGCCTCGCAGGGCACGGGTGGGACGTAAGAGTGGGGCAGTGGCACAAAAGACACGCGCTGATAGCCAGCGGGGGAAAGGACAACCTAGTCAAGCTGTGGGATCCCCGGGGGAAAGAGCTGACAACCCTGCACATCCACAAGAACACAGTCCTGTGCCTGAAGTGGACAAATGATGGAGAGTGCATTCTCTCCGGGGGGAAAGATCAGGTCATTAAAATGTTCAACTTGCGCGCGATGAAGGAAGAGTTCACGCACAAGGGGCACCAGAAGGAAGCCACTGCGCTATGTGTCCATCCCTGTCTCGATAGTCTCTTTGTGTCAGGTGGTGGCGAAGGGTCTGTCTACATCTGGCAAAAGCACAATGAGTATCCTGTGAGAGTAATATCTGATGCACACAGTAAAACAATATGGTCAATGGACTTCCATCCGATAGGCCACACTTTGGCGACAAGTTCGGTGGATAACTCGGTTAAGTTCTGGATACGCCCTAGGCCCACAACGGATGGAGCATCTGGCGACGTGGAGAGTGTGGATGTAGACCACGAGAGAATACCTGGAATAGGAAGCCATCTACAAGAATAATAAATACGTCATACATTCATTTTGCAGCATATCCACCTGAGGATAGCTCATTTTCCGTCATACGAGGAATATTTAGTTCTGTTTTCATTTTATTCTGGTGCTATTACAGCTGCAGAATCAGTGGACAGAATATAATTGGGAATAGACAGTGGCAATCTTAGGATAATCTTAGAACGAATAGAGATAAAGATGGCAGAGATCAGCCCAATAGTATTCTAACATTAACTGAATATTAAGTGACTGATTAACTGATCAATTAACTGATTACTAACTAACTCAGCTACTAATTGACTATTAGCTATACCATTGTCCTTGGTTGTACCATCTGTCTGCTTTCTGTTTATTCTTATCTTCTGCTTACTTTTGTATTCTATCCCTCTTTGATGGCTGAATGGTTGTCTTAAGGGCTGTGGGTTATATTAATGGGTATTTATTGATTTTTCCTTGCGTCTCTGCTCTGCCTTGCATCATTCTATTTAAATTTTAGAAATATAAAAGTGCATGGGTTTATTTAAAATAAATTTGTATACCTTACAGAAAATAAAAAAGTATACGTTTGTTGTTTATTGCTACTACTGCTTTTAGCAATTTATCTGACTTATTTAATATTTCATTGGATGCATCTACCTGTCAAAGAATCTCTTGACGCCACTCGACTTGTCAAAGTACACTATCTTCCTTTTCATCTGGTTGCTGCTGTTCTCCGTGATCTCTTCTGGCGCTGTCTTGTGCGGCTTCTGTCTTTCCACAAACGGCAGGAAGGTTTTCATCATGTCCTCCTTGCTTTTTATTATGCTGCACTTCTCCACGGCCCACTGCGAGAGCGTGTTGCTCCTGGGCGATATGCTCTTTGCATACCTTGTGTCCACGAGGAATATGCTCCCCCAGTCGTTTAGGTGTCTGATGCACCTCCCCATTGCCTGATTCACTGCCTTGTACGCCTGTAGGTTGTACCACTCGCTTCCTGTGTTTCCTAGATACTGGTTGTTGTACTTTTTCTTCAGTATTATCGAGTGATCGCGCACGCTTTGGTACGGAATCCCCACGAGAACAACAGCACGCGACTCGTGGTCTCTGAAGTCAATGCCTTCGCTTGCCTTTCCTCTGAACACGCACAGGAACACACACTTGCCTCTTCTGCACCTGCTTCTGTACTCCTGCAGGGCTCCCTCGAACTCGTCGCTTGACTTTGACTCAACAATCAGACAGACTGACCGATTTAGCAGGGGAGTTAGCTTATTGATGGCTGCATAGCTGGGAACAAAACAGAGCACGCCTCCTATCCTATCAAGATTGTGCGCTACATCGACAATTACATCAGCAATCGTGCGGTAGTATTTATTCTGCTGTGTTCCTGCGTATGTTCCCAGTATTTCTGTCCCATGGTACGACGATACTACAGATGTACTCAGCTGTTCTCGTGGTATTATGTGCCCTGCCTGCATAAAGTGCACAAACGCCTTGAGAGGATTGCTGCTCACTAGCTCCCGTGCTAGCTCCTTAAATGGATAGAGCGTTCCTGACAGCAGCACCACACACCGCGCTTTTTCGTATATTTCATTGAACACCACGGATGCGTGCAGCAGCAGAAATGATATTTTATTTTTTGTGATAACCATTCCGTACTTTTCTTTTTGGCTCGGCTGCATCATGTAGTTGAACACCGAGAGGATCTGGTGCAGCCACTGCTCGATGAATGTTTCGAGCACCAGCTCATCTAGCACTGTGTGTATGCTCATTTCAAGACCTTTAAATGTTTCTTCAGAGATTCCCAGGAGTTTCAGCTCGTTTTGGATATTATTCTGCGGTATAGCTGCCTCTTTTTCTCCTGTTTGGCTGACTACTGCTTCTAGCCCTTCTTTGTTTATTCTGCTGGGTATTTCGCTGATGTAGTTAAGTATCTTAGTGAGGAACATCTTTACCACTCTCAGGGCTTCTTCTAGCTCTGGGCTGTGCAGAGGCCGTGATAGACTCAATGTAACTATTTTGTCTATGATTTCAACTAGAGGTGTGTCTATCTCCACGGATCCTGTGGACCTGCAGACATCATCTATGTTGTGTGCTTCATCTACTATTACTGCTGCATCGTCTAGGGTTATTCCCATGGCCTTTCTTATTCTTGGGTTTATTATGTAGTTATATGGCGAGAATATGATGGTTGCATTGTTCTGCTTCTCTCGGGTGTAGTAGTACGGGCAGGCGTTGCATGTTTTGCCTGTGCTGAGTAGATCTTCAATGGAGAAGACCTTTGGCACCCTATTATCCATTGTATCTTTTTTTTTCTTGTCGTCCTTCTGTGAGTTAAAATAGTATCTACACTTGTCCTGCGGATTTTCACTTTTTACTTTGTTTTTACAAGCCGTATCTATGTCTTTTGATTTCTTCACGTCTGGGTTCAGACACAGGTGCTTTCTCGAGGCAAGAAGAGACATACTCGGGGGATTCTCCATTCTTTTCATGTGGTCTATCAGCTGGTATGCCTGTTTTATGGTTCTTGTTGTAATGAATACTTTGATGCCCTTTTGGTCTGCGGGGCTCTTTGCTCCTATCCAAGCTATTACTGCTGCAAGTATGCTGAGTGTCTTTCCTGTGCCTGTGGGGCTTTCTATCATCCCTGACTCTCCGCTTACCAGACATTTTAGGATGGTTTCAACCGACTGTTTCTGCGGCTCGTACAGTTCGTGCGGGCTTCTAACTGAATGCCCTTCTATATTTATCGTGTGCATAAAAAATAAATTGAATGAACTTGGATATCCTTGAGAGCCTTCTGAAGAAGAGAAAAGAAACAGAAAAAGAAAACAAGAAAATAAAGTGCAATGAAAGAGAAGAAAGCGCAGGAGAACAAAACAAGAGTGCATTCGAGCCATTTGCATACTTAGATGCAATAAGACAATCTAAGAGCACGAACTTAGACAATGCGAGCGATACTCCAAGAAATGGCAGTGAGAGTGAAAGAGAGAAAAGTAACAAAGATAGTAGAGGCAGTGAAAGTAATGGAGATAGAAATGAAAGCAGCAGTGAATTTAATAAGAGCAGAGTTAGTAGAACGAGTGAAAGTACCATAAAAAGTAGCATAAACACTAGCATAAACAATCATAACAGCAATTACAGTTTTAATGATAATAATTCTACTGCTAGCACAGATAACTGTATAAATATAGAGAATCTGTCGAGCATTCTACTAAGTGATGATGTCTCTAGTGAGATGTGTCTTGGGGAAATACCTACCACCCCCGACATGCTGCAAAATATCACTGATGATCTAGTAGCAAGCCGCAGTATGAGCAATGTGCACTCGCAAAGTACACCTCTGCTCTACAGTAAGGCAGCGAGCAACAAAGGAGGGATAGTTGGATATGCTGGAGCAATAAATCACATGAACGACGAGCCATCTTATCTGAGCACACAAACACCAATTACCAGCATAGAAGGAAAGCTAAATGGCTTTAAAGAAAACAGTATCTACACTGATTATATCTCCATCAGAGAGATAAGAAACTCAAAGTCTCTAAAGATGGACGGAAAAGTATTGGGCTACATCACAAAAGACACGGCATCCGACACAGCAGGAAGCATTATTATAACAGATGGAGTGGATGAGATAGAATGCGCTGTTTGTCCGAGTGCAATAGAGAGGTACAAGCTAGAGAAAGACTCTATTGTTCTAATTGCATCGCCGTCTGTGTGGAGACTCTCTTACACTAGTAATAACTGTATACTGAATGTAGTTGTAGAGAATATTGTATCAGTTAATAAATAGATGTTAAACTATGATCCTATAAAGAATTTACTAATGCAGCAATGTACCACAACGAATTTACCAATGCAGTGGCTCTAATCATTTCTGTTTTAATTTGCACTAATCTAGCGACAAATACTACTCTTCTAACTGCACTATTTGCAATATTTTTTTCTATAGCCAAGAAATAATTGCACTTAACTCTCTTCTACTGTTTACTATCCACTCTCTGTCTGCTGTGCTATTTATGCCATCTACTCTTAGCCCATGCCCGTCTTCTCTCCTTCTTTGTTTGCCCAATTAATTTACTCTGCCACTGCAGTAGAGACTCAAAAAAAGAAATTTCCGGAATTTGAAAAGTATAAATATAAATAACTTTTTCACCGCATGCAGGAAAATATGAACACATCTGACAAAACAGTAGAAATCGACCAAGAGACAAAAATGGCTTTTGAAGAAATAAAAAAAGAGCACGGGGCAGTCCACAGAGAAAATGAACAAGTAAATCTGGACGAGACTCTTGTAAATACAAGCGAAGGAGAGACACACTCGTTCGACGCACAGATGGACAACTTGCTGAGCATTCTGATCAACTCAGTGTACTCCAGCAAAGACTACTTCCTCAGAGAGCTGATCTCCAACGCATCCGATGCAAACGACAAGAGAAAGAGAGTGACATACGAAACACACGAGAACATTGAGGAGGAGCTCTCTATCAAGATAATCCCCAACAAAGAGAACAAAACCATCACCATTGTTGACACGGGAATAGGAATGAGCAAGGCTGACATGATAAACTATCTCGGAAGCATTGCATCCAGCGGAACAAAAGAGTTCAGAAAGAAAATACAGGAGGGAGGAAGCAAAGGACAGTCTCTGGACGCGCTTATTGGACAGTTTGGGCTTGGGTTCTACTCAGCCTTCCTAGTTGCCGACCAGGTGGATGTCATCTCAAGAAAAGGAAACGACTCACCGTACATCTGGAGCAGCAGAGGGCCAGGAGGCTTCGTAGTGGCGCCATACAACGGCAGTCACCCACAGGGAACATCAGTTGTGCTGCACATTGCAGAGCAGTGCAAGACATACCTCGAAGAGAAAACCCTCGAGAACATCGTCAAAGTTCACTCAGCATTCATAGCATACCCCATCTACTTATTCGTACTGGCAGAGAAAAAGAGGCCGGTAGCAAAGAAAGAAGAGGAGAAAGATGAAGACGCAGTGGAAGATGCACCAGCCGCAGAGGAGGAGCAGGAAACATACTTTGAAGAAGAGTACAAGAAACTGAACACACAGATGCCTCTGTGGGCCAGAGACCCCAAGGAAGAGACGATCACCGAGCAGGAGTACGAAGACTTCTACAAGGCCCTGACAAACGACTGGGAGAAACACTTTGCAGTGAGCCACTCAAGGATTGAAAGCGACTTCAACCTGCAGATACTTCTATTCCTGCAGAACAGACAGCCATTCAACATGTTCGAGAAAGGAAAGAAAACACCGTGCAACATCAAGCTGTACGTGCAGAATGTCCTTGTAGGAAACGACCTGTCAGAGGCTGTCCCAGAGTGGATGACATTCATCCACGGAATCATCTCATCAAACGACATCCCCATCAACGTATCGAGAGAGATCGTGCAGGGCAAGTCTGTTATGAACCTGATCAAGAGAGTGGTCACCAAGAAGGTGCTTGAGATGCTCAAGGACCTCGAAAGCGACAAAGAGAACTACCTTAAGTTCTACAACAACTGCAGCGCGTCTTTGAAGGTGGGAGCATACCAGGAGTCCTCAGATGTCTCTGGCAAGCTCGCTAAGCTGCTCCGGTACAAGACAACAAAGAGCGACACACCTGTGTCATTCGATGAGTACGTCAGCAGAATGGCAGAGGGACAGAAACAGATCTATGTCGTCACAGGAACAAGCGAGGAAGAAGTCAAGTCCAACCCTGCGCTCGTTAAAATGGGCAAGTACGAAGTTATCTACATGTCAGACCCAATTGACGAGTTCCTCATCCAGACTCTGAACAAGTACAACGACAAGCCGTTCCAGAGAATCACAGCTGAAGGAGTTGAGCTCCCTGAAGAAGCCGCGGACCTGTCTGCATACGAAGAGGAGTACAAGGGAGTGATGGAAGAGATGAAGAAGGTGATTGGCGACTCTGTGGAAAAGGTCATCATCTCCACTAAACTCGACTCGCTGCCGTGCTACGTCTCGAGCGCCAAATACAGCTACTCTGCAGCCATGGAGCAGATCATGAGATCGCAGCCAGGAAGCGGCAACAACGCAATGTTTGCGTCAGGATACCTCACCAAGAAGATACTGGAGGTGAACCCAGCACACCCCATCATGGGCGGTCTGAAGAGACTCCTGGAGGCAGACAAGAGGGAGGAGTTTAACAAGACAGTCAATCTGATGTTCGAGTCTTCTATGCTTGCCTGCGGATACACCGTCACAAACATGGCAGACTTCAGCAAAAAGATATTTGGATACGTGGAAATGGGAATGGCAGACTCCGCAAAGGACCAGTAAGTAAAAAGTTGGCTATGCATTAACTACAACAGCTAAAATAAAAACAAACATTATTCATTTATTGCTCGTTTATTCATTTTTTACTGGTAATTGAAAGTGCAATTTTACTGCATGAGAGAATTGCACTATTATTACAGCTATTACAAAAAATAAACTAATTTGATTTCAAACTGTGCTGAAAATAAAAGCCTAGTTATTACTGGCATAGAGATAATAGAAGGTACTGTAGATAGCGCAGGAAGAAGAGTTAAAAATAGGGTTATTGGCAAAAGAGGAAATAGCCAAGTATAAAAAGAAAATATTTTAATTTATTTATGATCCTACAACGAATCCTAAAGAAGCTTATAATAGGAGTGGCTGTATTAGCCTGTCTGCAGCGAGCTAAGGGGGCAATAGATAGTGCAGTATTAAATTCAGAGGGCTATTGGAAAAACAGGAGAGATTATCTAAGAAAAGAGATGCAAATACGCAGCGATCTTCTTTTCCATTTGAAGACGTCAAGATGTGAAGATACATTCTCTGAAACTCACATAAAAAACATGGAAATAGGAGAGGAAAACCTATCCAATGTGCAGCAGCGCTATTCAATTTTTAATGTAAACGTAGAAGATGTATTGGACACAATAACACAGCTGAGAGCTTTGAAGATTGCTGATCAAAGATTCAATGCGGAAGAAATAAATGAGCAGTGCAAATCCTTAAGGGAATCAGTTCTCTTGGCTCTTGATAACAACGATGCAATAACTGACAAAATAAAAAAGTTTGATGAGCACATGCTAGAATTGGTAAAATGCTACAGTGGGAAAATATGGCACAGAGGCAGGAAAATAGAAGAACTAACTCTGTTCAAGCTGGCAAAGAATAGCAAGCCCTTCGCTTCAACTATGGTGTACGATATTTTTATAATAGAGATGTTTAAGCCACTTAGTAGCATGAAAAATGAAGTAGCTCAGATGCTCAAGAGGGCGAAAGAAGCTTTTCTGCATTCGATGGATTTCTCAAGCTATGAGAAAGCTGTACTAAATGAGATAGAGAAAGGAGAGACAGACTTATTTGCATTAGCTGATAAACACTTCCATATTCTCTTCAGAAAACACGGAGTTGGCACAGATGTGATGAATATTTATTTCAGCCTGATAACAGAAAATATGAAAAAAGAAGAAATAAACCGATACATAGGCATCACTCCTGGACAGGTTATAAAAATGATAATGCTAGAATGTGCAATGAGTGGGCATCTTATAGACTACAGAAGAAACGATCTTTTTTTTAACCTTGGAAAAGTAATAGTGAGAGCAGGAAAGCCAGCAGACGAAAGTTTAGGTGTTAAAAAAGAAGCGGGAATAGCAAGAGAAAGACAGGATGCAATACTTGATGCTCTGCATCTTCTGTGGAACGCACAAGAAGATTTTAATGTAGAGAAGAGAAAAAAAAACATTGAAAAGTTCTGCAAGGATAATGGCATTGAAGCACCTTACTTTGAAAATACGCAGAAGAGCTTTATGTTTGCCCGATGGATGTACAAGATAAGCGTAAAAAGCCCATCATCAAAAGAGATAAGTAATAACCAGGAGCTGTTCAAGAAACACTACTTTGTCATGTCCTACACCCACCCCATGTGCTATGTCTACCTGCGATCCAGGGATATAAGCGAAAAATGTGATAATGTTAGCTATCAGCTCGAAACAAGCCTCATCTTCCATGAAAAACAATTTGCAAGATACATTTCAGGGAATACCGTCAGAATTAGGCCAAACAGAATAGATAAAGCAAGAAAGTATGTAGAACAGGCAGAGATCATGAAAAACTGCATAAGACTGTGGTACTTAAAGAACATAGAAATTGTAACAAGAAAAGATGAAATAGAAGAATACCGCGGCATAGCTAAAGATTTCAAAAAACATTTGGATAAGTCACAGTATGTGGATAGTGCAACAATAGACCCTAAGAACTCAGATAATGGCGCAGACAATGAAAGCAATCCTTTGCAGATGGCTAGAGCAGGCTCGAAGAGAAATGCCTCAGACTAGTTTAACAAGGAGATAGCTACTAAGCCATCCTTACCGCTAAATAAAGATAGTGTTTAACTACTCTTCTTCCACTGCACACACCATTTATTGTACTTTCAATAGATGGCTCTTGCTTCATGTAAGAATATACAGACACGTTCAAATGGATGGTTTGAGTCTTAAGTTTTAATATCTTTCCATCTTATCGATCCATGATACCTCTTCTATTGTTGTATGTCTATGTATGTTTTTTCTTTTAAATAGCCTAAGCATTGCAATAAAAATAAAAAAGTAAAATTCTACCCAGTTAGCTGTATACACTTAGCATTTATTTTCTTTCTCTTTTTCTTTTTTATTCTGTTCAGTACACTTTTTATGATACAAAAAATCAATTAAAGCAGCTACACAAGAAGAGTACTATCCATTTTGTTCTCTGAGATGCAAAGAAGTTCTACATGGCACTACAAATCTATTGGTGCACAGCTCTTCTGATTAAGTATAGATATATGTTAAAATCATAATAAAACACAATAAATGCCAACTCAGACAAACTATATTTATTCCTTATAAGTCTTTCCTACTTATTATAGCGCGAGATTAAGACATCGAGAATCTCGTTGTGTGCTCCTAGATTGGACTTGCTGCTGTTCACATTTCTGAATACTATAAACTCTATATGCTCATCTGGCTCTTCTGATACCATTTCGTACAGTTCTTTACTTAGGACTTTTATTCTTTTTTTTGCTCTATATCTTGTGCTAAATGCTGAATCCCTTTCTCTTGCTATTTTTTCTTCTGCTTTACTATTGCTTTTTCCCGACATTTCTAGCTTTTCTACTTCTTTTTCTGCTTCCATAAAGCTTTTGTTTGCTTTTATGAGCCTTTCTTCTGCTTCTCTTAGTTTTTTCCTGATTTTTTCTTTGCTCTTCTTCTCGCTCTTGTGTTTCTTTTCTTCGTCTTTCACCAGCCATGTGTATATTTTTTCTGTCTGGTTTTTCGATTCTCTGTCTTCTGCACTGCTGTTTTTCAGCCAAATACTCTGCAGATCGCTGCCCTTGTGGTACCTTCTTGACTCTAGTGCATTGATAAAGCTATTAAGTTTTCTTATGTTTCCTTTTTTTCTGAACTTTTCGTCTAGTAGAAAGTGTGTGTACACATTCTCGCTATTCGTCATATTCACGTACCACAGCGCCTTGAGAGCATCGCCTTCTCTAACCACTTGGTAGTTCATAATGTAGCAGTCAATGGACTCTTTCTTTTCTGCATCGGGCAGTATGCACAGATTGCTGTAGTATCCGTGCACATCTGAATACCTTTCGTCTGTGTACTTATCGTTGAAGTTGTACACATTCGGAGCTATATCTTTGAATCCCATTTTAGGAACTATCTCTGTATGCACGTCTTCCTTGGTGAATGGGCCCAAGTCGATTGCATCCTGCATAAAACGCGTAAGAAATAGTGGGATGTGAATACTGTCCTCGCTATATTCCTTCAAAGGCCTAAACTCGGCAAATGTAAATGTTTTTTTCGCCAGGTCTTCCTCAATGCGGTAGAACACCACTTCGTATTCCTCCAGCTCTTTCACTGTCTGGTGCCGCTCTTTCTTATCTATGTACGTCCAGCTTCTAGCTTCTTTTCTTACTTTGAAAGGGTGTATAAAATCCAGATCCTCCTCTATCTCATACAGCTTCTTTATATAGCTTATTATGCCATCAATTGTGTGCAGATAGTACTCTCTGCCTTTTTCTTTATGTATGGGCATGCACAGCTTTCTAGATTGGTGGGTTTCATTGTCTACATAGTAAACATGGTAGTGCGTCTTTACCTCAGGTGCAATGCTCCACACATTCTTCTTCTCTGCAGAATATTCAGAATCGCTGGCCTGTTTAAAAGAGCCGTTTTTTCCCATTTGTAAGGTCATCCCGCATTTAACGTATTTTTGATGCTTTATGGCACACTTGCCTATCAGTATATACTCATTGTAATCAAAGACTATTACTTTCTCATAGAAATCTGCAAGAAGTGCATATATGTCTCTATATATCTTTGGTATTGTCATCTTTTCCCCTTTAGTTTTTTCGTATATCTTCAAAAGAGCGCTGCAAATATTTTTGTGTGCATTTTCTATTTTTTCACTGTTCTCTGACGAGTCTTTTGCTAGCACACGTATGGCCAGTAGAACTTCATGGGCTTGTTTGTTTTTATCCTTTTCGTAGATTTGTGTGTTTTTTATAAGATTTGTGCTGATGCTGGAAAAGTCTTGGTGCACTTCAGGCAGTGCAAGAATCATGCGCAGTGCATAGCCCAGCGCTGAGTATTTTCCACACAGCTGGCTGATCTTGTCCTGATTTTTCATCACATAGCTGTTTATCTCTAGGCTTTTTCGTATATAGACATCTCCCAGCGTTTCCTTCCATTCAGTTGGCCTGAGTTTTTTGATCACTCTCAGCGGCTTGTGCTTTTCTGCGTATGCCAACATGTCTTCAAACACCTCAGGATAGTAGTCTTTAAAGCTCTCTGCGAAGTTCCTATGATAATTATCTTTATTAATACTAATTAGACTTTTCAAGTACGCAATATCTTCTTGTTTTGTGATTAACATTGAGGTTCTACTTGCAATAAAGTACCACAGCGCGTTCTGGTCTACTAGAGGAGCAATTTTTTCACAAAACTTTGCTATGTATTTTCTAATTTCTTTTTGGTACGGGTCCTTTATTATTTCATTAACCATATAGTTATCGTGTTTGTTAGATCTGTATATTGTTTGGTGCTGCGTTTTGTAGCTTGCCCTTCTTACATTGGTCAGTCTACTCTTGCTCCATAGCTTAATTCTGAGATTCTCCAGTCGTTTGTCTTTTATTGCTGCATCTGCAGAGATAGCTGCTTGGCTCTTTGGAGCTGGCACCTTTTTCTTTTTCTTTGGCGCAGGCTGGGAAGCAGATTTATCTTTTTCTGATTTCTTTCTTTTTTTCGCTACAGATGGAATAAGCGTGTTAGCTTTCTCGGCAGGAGTAGAAGAGATGCTGCCTGCACTGGGCTTTTCAGAAGGCTGCAAAGATAAGAGATACATGTTTATATATTCATCCAGTGATTTCAGTGGATCGCATATAGGACTACTGCCCATGTCTGGCACAGCATGATCTGATCTCTTTCCACTCACTGTGCTATTGCCATCTCTAGTCATACTAACAGTGTTTTCTGCTCCATTAAAAGCATCCTCACCTGTGCCAGTCTTTTCCATACTCTGCTGTTGCTGTCTAGAATGCTCGCTCTGTTCTTCCGTTCTCTGCAGATCTGCAAAGGATAAATTCTCATTATCAGGCGAGCTGTAGATGGTTGGAGGAGAAGAAAAGAAGCCTACAGCCTGTGCTCTATCTTCCACTCTTGATGTGCCAGGTATTATACCAGGCATACTATGCATTGGATTAGGAATGTATCCATTTGCACTGTCTTCTACTGCATATGTCCCTGTTTGAAGAGACTGATCCACCATTGCTCTTTCTGCGCTATTTCCTCCCATGTGCGAGTCTACAACACCGTATGTGTTCTCATCAAAAAAACTCCAGGTCCCTCTGCACTCTGTAATAAAGAAAGTGATCACTGCACTCACTGCACCTGTTATTTTCCTTATTTTCTCTTTTTTCATGCTAAAAATATCATTTTTTTATTTATAGTTTTTAGTTAGGGATCTCCACTCATCTGATTACAATGCAGAAATAGTATGAAAAAGTACACTTCTATATAAGTAATTATCGTGCCTTCGCACAGTAATTCTTTGTGTGATAAAAAGTTGTTGAATAAGTTAAATTTGGATAATAGATATTTATTCTTGTCTCTCGTTCTTCGTGTTCTATAAAACTTATGCTTATTTACAGACATGATAACCGTAATAGTCTAGAGAGCATATATCAGATAATTGAATGTACTAATCATTCTTCAGCTTTCCTGGTCTTACTGTTTTAAAGTCTGATGAACTTGAATTTTGTGCAGACTCATTTGAATAGTAGTTATTAAGCGTTGCTGCTGTTGCTACACCCAGAGCGACAGTGCCTGTGAATATTGTTGCAACTTTGCCATTTTCACTAATAAGTCTTCTAAATAAGGACTTAGGCTCTGCTTCTGCTTCTACTCTCTCTTTCTCCTTCTCTGTTTCTTTAGCTTCTTTTTCTTTTAGCTTTTTTAATTCTTTATTTCTTTTATGCAATTTCACTGCTTCTCCTATTTTTATTTTCTGTGCATTTGCAAATGCTTTAATTTTCTTGAATATATATTTTATTTGCTCAGTATATAAATTACTTGAGAAATACTCGCTGTTTTGAAGCATACCTGCAAAAATATTTTTTCCTATATATTCCTTGCTACCATCACACTCTAGCAGGTATATCTCATTTTCAATATTATTGATAGCACATTTTACTCTTTCCATCTCCTCTGTCTCTTCTTCTTTTAGCTGAGAATAAAGCGCTTTCTCATCTTCCAACTCTTGTAGACATAACTCTTTTTCCTCCCTTGCCTTATTTCCTTTCTTTTCTGATAATTTTCTAAAATATATATGAGAATTTGTGTAGTTTTTGTAAAAATCATATAAATTTGTGCCTATGTTTAAAATCTTTTCTCCATCTTTTTCTTCTAGAAGTATATTATTGTTTATCATATATTCGACCATCTCAACTGCGTTAATTTGCACTAATTTTTCATATTGAATGTCTAGTAGGTTATTTATAATAGAATATATTATTTCTAAGTCTTCTCGGCTAAACAACTTATAAATTTGCAAAACCAAACTATCCTTTTTCTTATCATCAGAAGCACACTCTATCTCTTCGATTAGCTTGTTCAACTCTTCAATTTCTTTCTGTTTTTCACAAATAAGCCTCATTCCATAGTCTATTAATAGAACATCCGTATTTTTATATGTTTTATCATATAGATCATTTACAGTATAGTGTTTCTCTATTAATAAGTCCTCAAAATCTTCTATGGATTTTAAGTCATCTAAAGCAGAAAAATAATAGAGATTATATGCATCCAGTCTCTCTGTAGAGGCCTGTAGAAAACTTTCCATGCTAGAAAAGCCTGTGCTGTCAACCTCTATTGTGCATGTTCTGGTACTCAGGTCTGCATTCTCGTCATCTGAATCTATATTTTCTAGAGGCTTATTCTTGTCAAACTGTATATTTATTCCATGCTCTGGCCTGTATATAAGTGGATTGGGTTTTATGAGTTTATTTGCTATTATAGCAATCATGTTTTTTGATATTTTATCATTATTATACTTTAATGCACCACATAACTTATATGTAATTTCTCCCAGTCCACATGCAGCATTTATAAGATACTGGCATATGTCATTTATAATTATATCAAAAACAGCTTTGTTTTCTTCTTCGCTGTACTCACTTTCTATTTTTATATTATCACTGAGTATAACTTTCAATTTTTTCACAAAACTTAGTGGAGTATTATAGCTATACATAGTATATACATCTTCAACACATTTTTTATCAATAGATTTGCATGCATTCAATACTCCTTCCATGTTTATCTTTAGTTTAACTTCTCTCCTGGACATCCTGAAAATTTTAATTGCAAAAAATTATTTAAAAGGTCAAGGATTTCCCAAGGCGGAAAAGCTTTGATTTTTTAAATTTATCCTTTTTATTGCTAACTAAAATAAGGCCCCAGTAAAATTTATTAGAATTACTAAATATAGTCTCTGTCGAAAGTATAAAAAGAAAATATTTTAATTTATTTATGATCCTACAACAGGTGCTGAAGAAGGTAGTAATAGGAATGGTTATATTAGCTTGCCTACAGAGAGCTAAAGCAGAACTAGACAGAGATATACGAAGGGCAAGGCTTTATTGGAAAAACAGAATGGAACATATAAATAGAGAGTTTCAAGTCCGCAGTGATTTTTGTGATAGCGCAAATTCTTTCATATATGACCAAGAAATGTCATCTAAAACTCTTAGAGATAATCTAGAGGATGGAGAGAACAAAATAGTCAACGTAAAGAGGCAAATAGCAATTCTTGATGAGTGCGTAGAGAGGATATTAAGCATAGCGCCAAAATGTTTAGACAATAGCAGTGATTCAAATATAGAAATAAATGGGCTATATTGCAGCTTAAGAAAGTCACTCTTAGAAGCCTTTGATAGAAATGACTCAGTAACAGATGCAATGAAAGAGCTTGATTCTTATCTGCTAGAAGTAGTAAAGGAATGCAGCTATATAAAGAACAAAAATAACAGCATACAAGAATCAACTCTGTTCAAGCTAGCAGAAAAGAACAAGGCATTTGCTTTGAATATGCTGTTCAGTCTTTCTAGAATAGAACTATTTAAACCTGCTAATCTTATGGAAGAAGAGATAAATTACGCATTTGAAAACAAAAAAGATTATCTAATCACTACGGATTTCTCAGTCTACAAGAAAGCTATAATAGAATCTATAATAGAAGACATAGAAAAAGGCGAAGTAAACCTGTTTGCATTAGCTGACAAGCATTTCTATATTCTATTTAAGTATTACGAAATTGATGCAGATGTGATGAATATCTATCTCAACCTGCTAAAAGAGGATATGTCAAAAGAAGAGATAGACCAATACATAGACATCAC